GTGGGGGGGCAGTGGAGGTTTAGTAGTAGGTGAGCGAGCAGCAGAGACCATGCACTTGTCCATTTCTCCACTCCCAACTTTGTTGCTTCAATACTTTGGTTTTGGTTCCTTTGATTCTTAAATCGGGTCACTGTCTCGTCCTCCTCTTAAGTCTTACCACGCACACAGCTCATCACAATCCCATGTCGCATCATATATATGACACCTCAGGAGTCAGGTCCTCCCTCCACAACACCACCTGCGTCCTCACGTGAAGCTTGAAATCAATTTGGGTCAGAACTTGATGAACGGGAGCTTCCATAGTCCTTGGGTAATGGCTAATGGGTGCCCAAGATCAACCCATGCCCAAATTGGCTTTGTATCAAGTCTCCCACTCTATTATTTATTTATTTATTTAAGGATTAATAAGAATTAGAAGGTCCAAACGACCTTGTTTTGCGAATTATACGTATCTGAAGAGGGTGATGACACTTGGCATAAAGATAAAAAGATACGTGGCATTTTGACCGAGATAATCTATATATATTATAATCTACACCGCTAGCTCCTATACAACAGTTCTACAACTGCACAAATGAGTGCTTCATTATTCTGGTTCTCGTGGAATGTATGTTTGGTGCGTGGTGGTGGTCTGGGCGTTTTGGCTTTGGAAAGAAATTTGCAAGTGGGAATAAAATTTGTATGGGATAGGTTGCAGTTTGCACGAGGGGTTTCTCCAATAACCAATGTCTTTCTATTTCTTCACAGTTTAATTACAATTGTGATAAAGATGTCCTGTACTTTATTTTGCGATAAAGACCCCTTTTATATTATGACCGTGGGATAAAGACCCCCTTTCGTTAGCTTTTGTTCAAAAAAGCCGTTATAATATCTTTTAGTCCTTGTATTATTTTTATAATAATTAAAGAAAAAATACTATTCATCTTCCCCGACCTTTCGATACTATCCATCCATTCTTTCACATTTCTCTCTCTCCTCTCTCCCCTGAATCCGATCTGATGATCGGTCAAATGGCCGAAGACGACTCCAGAACCAGAAAGACGAAGTTTAGAGGATTTCCAACAAGACGACACCTGTTGACGTAATCACAGCATTTATCCCTCCCCACTGTACTAGGTTGACACCACACGTTCACACTCCATATGAGCGAGTTTAGAGGTCATCGTCTAATCAACAGCATTTATCCCTCCCCCCGTAAATTAATCTTGTCTTCTACAGAGATGGGAGAATGACAGTTCGATTGTTGATGAAATATCTGGTTAACAAGCTCAAACTAGAAAACGAATCAGAGGTTCTTAAAACCATTTTTGCATCTGTTTCACTTCTAAATGCTTATAGAATTAATAGTTGGTTTGGTATCATGTGCCATATTTTTTTTATTTATTTTTAGCTATTTGCATACTAAAATCACAACTCATGAATGCAAAATTGACAAAACATTAGTTACCCTTACAGACCAACGCCAACCTCATAGAGTAGGCGCAGTCATTCACTCTTTCCGTGTTTTCCTCTGAGGAGAGAGACTAAGAGATAGAGGAGGCGCAGTTTTCCGAGTTATGGGGTGTTGAACTGAAGGGTCGTATCCATCCTTTAGTTCTCCACGTGGCCAAAGAGAAGACGGTGAGGGAAAGGAAAATAAGAGAAGAAAGGTAAGACAATAGGTTATATAGGTTTTAAGAGAAAAGGGGCAAAAAAAGAAAACAGAAAAAATTTAATAGGGTATTTTGATAATTTAATGCATTCCATCATCTGATTTAATCGTCAATGAGGGTCTTTGTCTCATGGTCATAGTACAAGGGGGGTCTTTGTCACAAAACAAAGTATAGGGGGTTTTTGTCATAGACCCCATAGTACAGGGGGGTCTTTGTAATTTACCCTAGTTTTTATTTTACACAAGATAGAGCTTCTCTCTATATATCTACCTATCTAAAAATGTTTTCACAGGGTCTACCTTTGAATTAAGAGGGTTTTTGGTTTTGTGGGCATTTATTCAATAAACGCTGTCACATAGACGTCACTTTAGCAGTTTCTCTCTCATGTTTTTCCGCCCGCATTGACAATAGTAAAAGATGACTTCAATTTTTGTGCATGCCTACCGTTTGGGGAAGTTATTTTTTAAAGCTTCCTCAAATGGTTAGGCATTTTTACACTATTACACTGATTTGGTGCCTAGTTGTCATAAATGATTGTAATTATTACCTTTCTCGGTTTTACAAGCAAATAAAGTACAAACGTTGAATGAAAAAATGTAAACGGAACCAAATACATACAAAATATACACAAGATTAGCTCGTAATAAGGGGTGGGTAAATTACTGAAACCTCCTCAAAGTTTCTAATAGTTGCTGAAACCTCCACTGAAGTTTGATAATTGCAATAACCTTTCCTGAACATTCTGACTCAGTTGCAAGCAATGTTCAAAATATCGATACGCCCGATACGTCGGTAGGGGCGTATCAGGCGAATCGATACTATTTTTTTTTACTTTTTTTATTTTTTTCTGAAACCGATTCAGGGGGGATAGTTTAGGGCTCCTCCACCCCTTGAATCGGTTAGACCCCTATATAGGGGTGTATCGAAGAGGTCCCGGAATGATACGTATCGGCCATACGGGCTGATACGTGTCAATACTTTGAACCTTGGTTGCAAGTATACCCTTTCCATGAGTATTCTCTAACAAGAGGTACAGAAAATGTCCAAAATAGCCATGCAATTACTGTTGAGATCAATTTCTACAGGACAAAAAAAGCAATACAAACTTCATGAAGGTGGCAATTGATACAAAGAAAACATTTGAAAAATAAACATTTTGGTCAAAAGTTATTGCATGGGTATTATGCACATTTTTGTGCCTCTTAATTGAGGATTCTTATATGGGGGTTTACTTGCAATAGAGTTAGAAAGTTCAGGTGAGGTGATTGCAATTATCAAACTTGAGGGGAGGTTTCAGCAATGATTAAAAACATCAAGGGAGGCTACAACAATTTACCCAAAAAGAAAAAGAGAATACATATTATTATCATTTTTTGTTTTTTTAAGATTTAACCATTTTTATCATCATTAAAAATAATTCTTATTTATTATACTTAACTTTGTTTAATATAATGAACAAATAATATTAGAGATGTCTTTTTTCACAATTTTTTATCTATTTATTATATTTTTATATCATGAGTTAATTCATTTGATCTGATTGATTGAACCATTAATCTATTTGACCCAACCAACGACAGGTCATGAGTCGGATTTTAATTCATTTTTTGTTCTATTTTATATTTTTAGCAATTTCCATCATTAATAAAAAATTATTATTATTTTTGTTTAATATGATATATGTTAAAGGGGAGACTAGATGGACGAAGACAAAATCATGAACAACAGGTTGGACAGGCTATTGCAGGTGAACACACCAGCATTCCATACACGGGGAGCTCACACTTTAAGCATACAAAATGCTGGCATCCATTTTTATAAACTTTTATTTTTAGTAACATTATAGATATGCCCATTTTTCTACAATTTTTTTTACATTTTTATAAACATTTATTTTGGCATGGCAAGATAACCCATTTTGACCCAATTAGGTCCTTTAAAATCTACAAATTAAAAGATTTTAAAAGAAATTATTGTAAAGGCATATGCCATGCGCGTGCACCCACATAAAACATTATCAAAATTAACTTTTAAATGTTTCTATTTGCTATCACATTTTCTTAACCATCTGATTAATTCAAAAAACAAAACGTTATCTGAATGAGAATCCGACTTAAGCTGCATTTGGTATTTCTTATTTTAACCTTTTTTCTGTTAAAAATTCAATGTTTATAAGGGCATCTTAACTGCAAAAAAGAGAGAAATCCAGAAATGACAAATGCAGCCGTAAAAGTTAGAACTTAAAAGGATAAGAGTCCAATTAGAATTCGATTGATATTTGATCAAGTTAAGATTAGCTTAACGTAATAGCCGTTGAGCAGTTAAAGCTAGACCTGGCAATCGGGTTGGGTGGGTTGAGTTCGGGTTGGGTCAAGGTATTTTAGGTTGATTGGGTTGGGTGGGTCGAGTTTGGGTTGGGTCAAGGTATTTTAGGTTGATTTTGGGTCAGGTTGAATTTCGGGTTGGGTTGTCAAATGCTAGACCCTAATCCTAAATGTTCGGGTTAGGGTTGACCCATGGGTCAATTTGGATCATCCCAAAAAATAATTGAAATTAAAAAAATAAAGAAAAATTACATAAAAAATGTCAAAATTAAAAGAATTAACCTAAAATTCTAAATATAAAATAAAAACTTGAACATTTAATAAATAAAGAGTAAACAATAAAAAATAAAGACTAAATAGAAAAAATTAAAAAATGAAAACTTCTAAGAATGCATAAATAATTCCAATTAGACTCGACAATCGGGTCAGTGGATTGACCCATGACCCAACACAATTTTTTTCGGGTTAGGTCGGGTCGAGTCATTTTCACATTTTCACATTGGATTCACGGGCTGGATCAACTTTTTGCCAGGTCTAATTAAAGCGTTTAGCCAATTAGAATTCGACAGATATTTTATCAATAGTGTGAGGCAGCCTCCTACACAGCTAATTAAAGCGTTTAGCCAATCCCAATTGGAACGGGATCTGCTGATATTATGCACGATAGGATGTGCGTGTGAGGCGCCCTATGTGAGGAGCAAATCCGGTCACATCCAAATTCCATTTTATCCTTTACAGACTCTGTTTCAGCCGGTTTAAAAAAAGCATATAGGGAAGTCTCAGGAATTTTCTAAAAAAAAATAGAGGCGAAGGAAGCGCTGGACCCCAGAAGCAGACAAAGAGCGGGAGAAAATTTGCATTTCAACCGTCGATCTCGTGGGGGCAGCGGACTCGGCGGGGAATGAATCTTGAGCGTCGGATGGGAGGGATGACGGGCCATTGACCGAGCCAACCGTCGGTGATGTTGTAACCCGGGTGTGTAAGTAACTGTAAGCCATGGTTAAAAAAGATGATTACCAATGGAGGGAAGGAGGGAGGAGGGAGGAGGGAGAGTGGAATTTGGAGGGAGGATAATTGACTCCAGAACGTCCGAAGCTCTGAAAATCTTCGGGTTTTGAAGTTAGCAGACATTGCTCTGCAAGTCCTGCGCTTCCCCTTCCCCCCTCCCTTTTTTCTGTGTCCTTGGTTTCCTTTCATGGGTTTAATCTCTCGTTGTAGTTCTGCCGTGCTTTGTTAAACTACAGGGAAAAAGTTTTTTCCAGAAACACATGGCACACCGCACACGGTGTTCACAGAAGGTTTAATGCTTGGAAAGTCATAGGATAGAATTGATTTTGACAGGATAGGTTTCTTCTTCTTACTTTTTTTTTTGTTTGTTCGATCGACAGCTTGACCATTGCGGTCCATTGTATCGTAGCCTTTAGGAATGTTTTAACAGGGCACAGGTTTCAAAGGAAGGCGACATTTCTCATTCCAAAAATCGGGATTGGAAGATATCTGCAAGAACCCAGTGCCCATAAGGGGGATACTCGAAGCGTGATTTTTTGAGTTGAGAATCCATTGAATTAGTTCAGGACTGGAGCGAAATCTGCAATTAATTCTTGAAGTAGTGGAGTTTTCCAAGGTTTTCTCAAGAAATTCTTTTTTAACAGGGGATATTCAAAGAGAAAAGGTGGAAAAGTAGAGAGAGAGAGTGTGTATGTATGTGTTTTTCGGGGGAGCATGAATGCTGTTATCCGTAACCGTACCAGAGGTCAGAAGCAGTTATGATTTGAAGCAAGGTGTTGCAGAAGCTACAGAACCGAGAATGAACGAGGATTCGTTAAATTATATATCTCTTGATACTATGCAAACGAAGAGCTGAGTTAAGCTATGCAAAGTATTTCCTACCTGTACGAAGATCAAATATTGTGGTGAAACGATTCAACCAAGGTCTGCAACTGAAATCCTCCCTTACAATTGTTTTAGTTCCATTTTTATATTTATGGAAATGGCTTGTAATCAATCAGAAATGCAAGAACCGAGCATTGATACGGACAAGCTTAGTTATGAGATATTTTCTATCCTCGAAAGTAAATTCCTTTTCGGCTACGACGATCAGAAGGTCTGGATTCCGAAACATATCGCTCCAGCCAACGGAACAATATCCGAAACTACAGCTCCGACGACCACTGACAACGGTGTTGGGGCGATCAAGAATCAAAGAGGCAAGGTCTGCATTCTTAGCATTGATGGTGGAGGAATGCGAGAGATCCTCTCAGGAAAAGCCCTGTCTTACCTAGAACAAGCTCTCAAGACCAAATCTGGAAATCCAGACGCAAGAATCGCCGATTATTTTGATGTTGCCGCTGGAACAGGGTTCGGAGGAATATTCACGGCGATGCTCTTCGGTACCAAGGGCAATAACCATCCCATTTTCCAAGCGGAGGAGACGTGGAAGTTCTTGGCGGAGAAGGGAAAATATTTTTTCCGACCTTCCTCTGGTTCATGCTCCGGTGGCGGTTTTTTACGGCGAATATCCAAGAGCGGAGCCGGTGGTTCAACCAGTTTAGCGACGGCCGGACTGGAAAGGGAGATGAAAGAAGTATTTACGGATAATGGCCGTATTCTGACACTTAAAGACACGCTGAAGCCGGTTTTGATACCTTGCTACGATCTTTCGAGTTCAGCGCCGTTTCTCTTCTCCAGAGCTGACGCGCTGGAGACGGACAGCTATGATTTCAGGCTGTGGGAGGTATGCCGAGCAACGTCGGCCGAGCCGGCCATGTTCGAACCGGTAGCAATGCGGTCAGTTGACGGCCAGACTCAGTGCGTGGCGGTCGACGGTGGGCTGGCGATGAGCAACCCGACAGCAGCGGCGATAACGCACGTGTTACACAACAAGCATGAGTTCCCGTTCGTGCGAGGAGTGGAGGACTTGTTGGTGTTGTCCCTGGGGAGTGGTCATCTGCTGGAGCGCAGCTACGAGTATGAGCAGGTCAAAGGGTGGAAAGCAAGGGAGTGGGCGCGACCCATGGCTCGAATCGCCGGTGATGGTGCCGCCGATTTGGTCGACCACGCCGTAGCCATGGCGTTTGGTCAAAGCCGGAGCAGCAATTACGTCCGTATACAGGTACGCGTAATTCCACTGTTCAAAACTATTTAGAGGGTTCTAACGTGCGCCGTGTTGGTGAATGCATTTAACCGGTGCTAGTCTTGGTTAAATACCCTTTTTTTTATTACTATTATTATGGTGCCAAAACAACGAAAAAAATATTTATTCCGGACGTCTTGATTTCGCTTTCTAGTAGCAGTCCAGGAACGGATGCCAGACTGGTTTCCATCCATTTTCTCAACTTGGAGAATATTGTCTAACTCTAACCTGCGCTGTGTCGTTGTTTTGCAATTAACTGCGCATCGTCTGGCACCTCCGCCTCGTCCAAATTCCAAAATGGGCTCTTCTGGCGCATGTTAAGTGGCGGTGCTAAAATGTGCCAAGGAGTCCTGATTATGTGTCAAACCTATCAGTGTTTCATTTTGTACAGCTGAGCTGGACATTTCGAGCAAGGGGTGCGTTACTTCTATCCATGCATCTTACCACAGAGCCCGGATCTCCTGCCCACATTTATCTTAGCTTCATATGGAGAATTGTGGGTAGGCGTGGGCAGGAGATCCGGAGTCCTTACACGGTTGATCTGAAATATTGTCGTTAATTGCAGCAACAAATGACACAAAATAAGATATTCCAGATCAACCGTAGAGATGTATTGGTGGAAGCGGCGAGGATGTGCTGTGAGACGTTGTGGGGGACAATCTTGTGAGGCTGATTTCAACTCTTGGTATTTTGGGCTATTTTCGTTCTGCAGAGTGCACCCAGTAGTCATTGGGCATAAGTCGTAACGCCTGAAATGACCAAACTTGTTGGTTTTGGTCCTGAGTGATCTCTCTCTCTCTGGATATAACTACAGTGGAGTGGAGCTGCTGTCGATCGTAGATTAGGTTGGGAATTAGGAATTACAGGGCTATGGCTTATGCCTGGTGGGAACATACGGGGTTTTCAATTTCATGGTGGCCTTTTATGGTACCTAATGATGATATGCGTGGTCAATTGGAATCTTTTGCCCCATCCTGTTTTATCCATTTCTTTTTACCCGGAGGCCAGGCCGGAGACAGAGGAGGATGGATTTTCCTCTGAATCTTTTTATGGTACAATGGTTGTGTGGTTCACCTTGCTCCTAGTTTCCCATTAAGGGGGACATGTTTTTCACCGGAAATGATGGTCCAATCCCCCCAATAATCTTCATACCTTTTTCAGTCAAAGTATCAAGTTAAAAATAGTTATGAACCCTGCGAATAATGAATCGTACGTGCAGTATTATCAATCATACTCGGATTTTAAAATTTAAATCCATTGTTCTCTGCTAAACCATCACAAGAGGCTGTTGCTGTTGGATAGGTAAATTTTAAACCCAATGTTATTCTTCCCGTGGAATAACATTTGCTGTGGTTGATATATATATATATATATATAACATTTGCTGTCGAATTTCTCTTACAATACATAACAGGGATTTTGCTTTATCAGTTATTATTTTTATTGTTCCATTTACAGGCAAACGGGCCAATTTTGGGTCTCTGTGGGGCAAATGTGGATGCTGACCCCAGTACCAAGAATGTGAATATGCTGATGGAAGCGGCAGAAGAGATGCTTAGACAGAGGAATGTTGAATCCGTTCTCTTCGGGGGGAAGAGAATCGGGGAGGACACCAATATGGAGAAACTTGATTGGTTTGCTGAACAACTCGTGCTGGAGCATCAGAGGAGGAGTTGTAGAATTGCTCCCACCGTCGCGTTCAAACAAGCTACCCCAAAACCCACCTAAATCCCATTCACATATTAACATAGACCCGTCAGAATTCAGAAAGTGAAGGTAAGCATATTCTCATGAAACTCTTTCCTCATTTCCAATTCCCCTCTAATTATAATATATATTTGTTTGATTATTATTTATTTATTATTAAAAAAATGGAAGTTCCGTAGAAAAGAAATTGCCTAAAACTACACTTGAAACCGTAGATTTTACGGAAGTCACAAATCACTCCGGAGGCGGAGGATGGTGGTGCAGAAATCAGAATACTGATCCTTCAATTCATGTCGCATCGTGGGATATTACCGTCATTTTAAATCAAAGAGCAAACGGCCGGTTGTTGTTGTGACCTGTGAGGCTGGGGCTGGAAATTCCAAATTCCTGATGTTGTTGGCCAACCGACAGTGAGGGTGGGGATGGTTTAGTCATTTTTGTCATTGAATGCTCATGAACGAGAATCAACATCATTGTGCTGCCTGCTCACTACTGCTCAATCCCTTCTCCCAACTTCCAAGAGTCTTCTTCTAGGTAAGTCCATGGTCAGTTCTTAATACCTATTTCCTATTGTTTTTCCTTTTCATGTTTTATTATTATTCCCAAGGAAAAGAAATAAACAAAAACAAAAACCAATATCCATGCCCGCAAAGAGTGCAGATTACGATGATGTAACCAAAGCCTCTGTTGTGAAACTATAGCCCTATCAATGGTCCAGGTGATCTTAACTTATACCAACTTATTACACAGAGGGTCTGGGCCTGCATTTTGTATCCGGATTATAATATGGCTGGGATAAGACCCAGGCTAATTATTTGAGATTCCTTATTGACTTTATAAAAGATGCTTAGACTTGTCATTCTCATGAGATTTATTGTTAAATTAGCAGTCTAAAGGCAAAGACTTGTCATTTATCATGGATTCTTGTGATGACAATCCTGATAAACACCTAATAATATATAGGTTGGTGTCTGGGTTTATCACTTTCACTTGAGGTTGGGACTGCATGTGCATTTTTTCCTATTCGGGACCGGGTCTGCCCTGACCTGGCCAGACCCGACCAGTTGATGAAACGAGACTTTCTACTAACTTTTTCTAATTGAGAGTAGAGGTATAAATCGGGCGTGCCGTCTGCGGCCCGGCATGATGGCATGCAGGCCGTGTCAAGTTTGATATGACGGTTTGGACCGTATTGGGTCTGGGGTTTTAGGTTCGTGGGTCTAGTTGGCACGGCACGACCGAGCGGGCCATTACACCCACGGCCCAGCCTGTGGCATGGCCCATATATATTATTTATATATATTATATATTTTATATATTTATATATATAATATAATATATAAATTATAATTATATAATAATATACAATATATAATATATTAATAAAATAAACAGTTATTTTCAATTTTATTATATTAATTTATTTAATTATTGTATTAATATACATCAAAATTCATATAAAATTAAAATTTTAAGTTTTTTTTAATTTTTTAAATATATAATTTTGACCCGGTCTATGGCCTGGCCTAGCTCAAGGTTTACCCACGGACCAGCCTGGCACGCAGCACAGCACAGCACAGCATGGGTCTACACGGACTTGGGCCGTGGGCTATGCCAGACTGACCCCCAAATTATCCCAGGAGAGAGGGTGGAATGACCCACAGACTGGAATAACATGACCCGTTTTACACTTCTAATTGAGAAATATGTGGCTGCAATTCACAGTGGGCAGGTAGAGAGTGAGTAAGAAATGTAGGCTGCAGTTGATAGGCTTAACCTTGAGCATCCTGCTATCATTCGACAAATTCACGCTCTAGAAAATTTTTGCAAATTGCCACTTTGTCAGTATCTTATTTTTGCTCTTGATTTGCCACTAAAGTTGCACTACTACTCTGCTACATCCCCTTGTTTAAAGGAATAAAAAACCATCCCCTCAAATTTACATTTTACAGTCATTTCTTGTTCTGTTACCCCTTCTCTGTTTTTGTCGTAAACCAATCGCTGGATATGCCACTAGAAAAAACAAAGCTTTTTTCGTCATTAAAATAAACACCAAATAAATGGATTCATTACTTACAAACTCCGTACATTTCCAACCAAGTGAGTGCTGCTCTGCTCTGCTATGCGTGGAATGCGAAAAGAAGATAAAGTGAAGGCTACAGAGTACAGACACTTGAAACTTTCACCTTCCACTAAATCCACTGCAATGAAGGACTAAGGGGAAAGAAAAAAAAAATAAGAAGAAATTTGTCCAAGTCCTCTTTTCTTTTGAAGCTTTAGCATCCTGCATCAGTTTTATCTTTTTCCTTCATGATTGTAAGAATGGTTTATGATCTTGGAAATGCAGGTAGGGAAGAAAAAGAAAAAGGAAAGAAAACATAGCAGCTTTTACTTTAAGAAGGGAGGAGGAGAGGTGGTCGGGGCAATTGAGATGTAAAGAGCAGTTGGTGAAAGAAAAAGGTCGGACACTTCATTGGGATCTTTTGCCAGGTAGAGAACATGCAATTTTGGTGTCCCCCCCACCCCCCCACATTTTGGACGAGTCGTCTCTCCGGCGAGTGGGAGAGAGGTTTCCTGATTCCTACTTGGTATGTGAAATCAAATTACATGCGGTTTGCACTCAAGTGGGATTTGGGTTGGGAACTTAAAAGTTCAGCCTGTTTCCTACTACCCATACCAACTCTACAATGCCCCTATATTTTATGTTTATCCTACGGTTCGGGTTCGCCCTCTCATACCCTTTTGTCCAGAAACTTGACACACTGTACGGAAGAACAGACGCAGCTCTCCTACAAGCCCAAAAAATTTGTTTGGTTGGTAATGGGGTGGGTATGTATTTTCTATTTTCTTCTTGTAGTGGTGGTCCGGGAGGAATGTAACGTGCAATTTTCTTTAGCAGGCGACCATATCCAGATTGTAGAGAGAAGGTACTCAAGGTCAAGGGTGGTTAATATTGTTGTAGCTTTTTCAGGCGTTGGTCCCGACGACTGGAGTGGAAAGAGCCTTTCTGTGTAAACTGTAATATTATTATTGTATAAAACTATAAATTCCGCGGCTGCTAACCACGCAGCTCAACAAGATTCAGTAACTGTCTTTGCAAGATCTAGTTTCGGCGCTTGTGGAAATAATGATCCAACACTATATTATAGTTTCTGTTTGGTTGATATTTGAATCTTCAAAATGAGACCCACTTGAAGGTTTTAAAAGGTATACAATGTTTTACCAACATTACTCGTGTCTAGACCAGTTGATGTGGTAGGCTCGGGCTGGACTTTTATTCTTTATAAACATGATTTTGTTAGGTCCAAGCCTGAGCCTGTCCCGACCAATGGGCCTATAACATAGGCCCGAGCCCATCCTTAATAAAATGTCCAAAGCCCGACCTAACAAAAGAAAGAACTCGATGTTGTTGACTGTGTTCACCAGTGCTGAGTTTACGTCTGTGTGTGTGTGTGTGAGAGAGAGAGAGAGAGAGAGTATTCACTGGTCGGTGCTCAGTTCGTAGTGAGATGAGATTTTAACAGTGAAAAGAGGAGTTAGTTCGCGTATGAGAGAGAGAGAGAGAGAGGACTCACCGCCGCCGCCGTCGATGCCTGTGTTCGCCGCCTCGCCGGTGTCTGAGATTTGAAAGAGAAGAAGTGAGAAGAGAAAAGAGAGAGAGAAGACTCACCGCCAGTCTGTCGGAGTTGTTGCACTGGTGAATGTTTGTTGGTTCTGCAGCTGCTTGAGAGTGTGAGGAGGATGTGAAGAGAAGAGAGGTTAGACACTGGGCAGTTCAGCTAACAGGAAATGTGGAAAGAGATTAATGAGAAGGGTTTCTTAGGATATTAGGGTTTTTGGGTTTAGTCTATAGATTGGGCCGGGCCGGGCTATTTTGGCAAATCTCGAGCCTGGCACGAATTTATTGCGGGCCGGGCTTTTTGGCCCGAGGTCAAGCCCACGAGCTCATTTGCGCATTCAAGCCCATTCGGGGGCCTGTCAGGCCACCCGGCCCATGAACAGGTCTACTCGTGTCGTGGTATCTAAAAGGTATTCAATGTTTCAAAGTTCAGTGGATCAAAAATTTTGTCTTGTCAAAATTCATATGAAATTTTTCATCTTTCTACACCAAAAATTTGGTTTTAACAGCCCGGTTGGCTTTGGTTATTTATGAAATGGTATACTTTTTGTTTTCAAACTTTTAAAAGTATGAAAAACCCCAAAAGCATGAAGTTAGCTTCTTATACTTCGTGCTTTTGGAAAAATTGTGCTAGAATCAGACTACCGTCATTGGTCTCAGACCCCAAAATCACCAAAAGTACAAATAGGTGTGCTTTCGTCAAACAGAAAATGGTACTTTTGTTTTGAAAAGCATACTTTTCAATTTTTTTACTCAAACGGTTTTCAAAGAAAAAATAGCAATGTAAAAGTATTTTATGTACTTTATACTTGGTATTTTTAAAAGTACAAAAGTATAAGTCTATCCAAATAGTGCCTTATTTTCAATGATTGTGTACTTTTGCTATAAATTTTAAATAACTATTGGAGATTAAACTATTGCTATTTATTAGAGATTAGACTATTAATTTAGCTTAAATTAGGAGTGTTAAAGGATTGGTTCAATTCAGTTGCAATCTGTTTCGTCAACCAAATCGACCTAGTCAAGTCGGGAGTTTGTCACTCGAAACCGATTGACTACTAGTGAAAACCTACCAACTCGGGTTGTATCGGTTTGGGTCTATTTTCAATTTGGTTTGTTTGTTCAAAAGATTTAAACGTAAAAAGTAAATTTAAGTTTAATAAATTACAATGATATTATTAAAAAATAAATCCATGATATAAAAATATTTTAGATTAAGAAATATGGGAATTTTCTTACTTTCCCGTATTAAAAAAATTAAATTTAAAATATTAAAATATATAGATTCAGTTTTGATCAGTTTACAAATGGTCAAAACGAAACTGACCTAACTTGATCAGGTTAGAAAATACAAAAAAAAAACAACTAATCTGAATTGAGTTTGACCAAATTGATTATTAAAAAATTAAAATATAAAACAATTATATATTCTTATGTATGTCTAATGTTTAAAGCCATGCAAGATCCGGTAGTAGAATATATAGAAAAGGGGAGATAAGGATGACTTGAACGGTTAACTTTGCTCATAAACTTATAGCTAGGGTATGATTAAAGTTGAAATGAAAATGACTAGTCTATTCCATTTTATTAAACTTAATTATAAGGTTCAAATGCAGAGAGTCAGAGACTTCAATGAGTGTTAGAATGTGAATGGGGTATATTATGATTCGGTTGCATGGACTTTTTTTTGTTTAATCCAACAATAAGATCAAAATGCAAAGTAAAAAGTAAAATCTAATTACCTAATAAAAAGATCAAGCTAGGCACCATGTAATCGGCCAAAAAGCAACATCATTTGCATTAATAATATTAATGATGATACATACATCAATGGTTTTATGTAATTAATACTTGAGGGGATTCTTACTTCTTATATAAAATTAAAATCACAACGACATTGGAAAAATAATTGGATAGAAATAACATTTTATGTTAATGAACCAAAAGAAACTACTTGTCTCACATCAATCAACTCAATACTAAGTGCAAAAGTTGCGTGTTCCAACTTCCTATTAGGAAAATTATCACTTAATTTGACGTCTCTTCAAATTTGTAACAATCAATCAATCTAAGTCTACATTCCTTTCCGTCCTTTATAATAATCTCTTATCGACATTCTTAATTGTTTGTGGCCCTGACTCTTCCAAACAAAGGAAAAAGAATATATTATATATATAGTGGTTTATAGTTTTTCCACCTGTGACAAGCACCTAATGCTAATGGTAATGCACTTAGGTTCAGGTCAGGGAAGCCTCTCATGTCTTTTCACCTTTCATTTTGCTTAGATGATGCCTTAGGTTATGTCAATTAATGAGATGACTAGTTTGAGTTTGCTTTTCTGTGCATGTCGACAAGAACGCATTATTATCTTAATTCCTACCATCTTAGGGAATCTCCTAATACAACTAACTACTCCTTTATCATAATTAATACCATAATTATCTTAATTAATACATTGATTCCCATTCCCGTTCATATATTTATATTGATTGTTCTTCTTGGGATTAGGACAGAAATGGGCTGAAAACAATGAAAAGAAAAAGAGTTGATATATTCTTGATTGGATTGTCTTCGATGTGAACTAACTTGGCACTATTGAATAAGAGAATCTAAACATTCATTGGTTGTTGGTTAATGCCTATTGACCCCGCAACCATTATCGCTATTTTAATTTTCTTCTGATTTTAAAATATTCAGAAACGTCAAGGGATCGAGTTGATGCATGATGTAGATTGACTAGGTAGGTGGATTATCCTCTCACTCTCACATATAGATGATATAATAATGGTGATCATCAAGAAGCAATTGGGTACATGCATAAAACTTTTCCTTGGGGGAATCAGGAATGTGCTTCTTTCTTGGTGTTAATATAACGTAAGTGGGCCTTAATTTACAATAAGGATGGGAGATTGTTAAGTCAATTATCAACCCTGTTGCTGTTCAGACTTAAGAAGTTCTAGCCCTTCCAAAAGAGGTTTGCCTGCTGGAGTCATCCTACAGTAGTCGGCGTATAAACATAATCTTCTTTATAATCTAATGCTGGAAAGTAAAAAAGGATGCACGCTGCCAGCAAAAAAAAAAAAAGGTTTACGCTGAGGAGATAATCTTTAGCATTTGAATATTATTAATTGTAGAACGATCGACAGTAGTCCAAAGGCTCCAAGCGACCAATAACATCACTTCACGCTCGTGTATATTCTTTTAAAACGTGGCTTAGCTACTAGTTAGTATATTGTTTATAATTACAAGTTAGAAAGTCAATTAATTATCAGTTGGGTATCTACCAAAAGAAAAAAAAATATATATATATATATATATATATATATATCTGTATTAGAAAATATCTGTATTTGCTTGCTGAGCAGCTTCTGTCTTGTGTAGATAAGAAAACAAATATCTCAGGGCTTTTACCCCATGAGTGATTGACAGGTTTTAACCCTGCCGCATAATCTTTATTTAGTGAACCTTAATACTAACTAATTCAAGGTGGGTTGGTTTCTAAAGATTAAATGGTTTGGCTTAAAATATTCTAGTGCTAATTAACATTTTTTACTGTATACTGTATACTATTGATTGAGCACATAAATTTTGATATCAGAGCTTATCCCACTTCAAGCATATTGATCATATATATGCATGCAAATTTTGATATAAGAGCCTGTCTTTTCATTCTAAGTTTGAAGCAAGGGAAAAAAAAATTGCTTGGAAATGAATAAAGGGTTTGGAGCATGGAATCCTTAATATAGAAGTCAAGTTGGTTTTGGACCAAAGAGTTATCATATATATATATATATATATATTTTCTTGTCAATTGGTCAAATTTGAAGCTAAAAGTCCTTTCCACAAGGTTAAACGTAACTAAAACCCTCTGCTTTAGGTCATGAGTTTTATTTATATAAAACTTGTAATGGTTAATATATAACACTAAGGCATTGGTTTGGGAGTGTTTTATTAGATGAATAAATGTTTATCCTAATAAGCTCTTATGAATGCTTGGTGAAAAAGTACTTCAAATAAAACCAAAATTTTGAAATTATTCTGAACAAGTTTATTTTTCCTAAGAAAGCACTCGTTCATTCACCAGATAGGAAACCCTCTGGAGCTGCTTCTAAATGCGACATATGTCAACCCAAACTGAACCTTCGCGACAATTTTGATGGTTCTGCATATATAAAAAATCATGTATGAAAAAGTTAGGATTGTCTCTGGGTCAGGTCTGGTTTGGAAGAAGCTGTACCAGTCTTGTTTGGATTACTAATTGGGACAAAATTATAGATTCAGAACTGTTCTGATTAATTATTAATCAGGCCTCACCAATTAGACCCAAACATATTGACATGCATCTATAATTATTTATATTGCTTACAACTTACAACTTCATTTTTGGTAATATAACCTTAATAAAAATATAGTAAAATAGTTAATAGTTAATATATTAATAAATTAAGTGTTTTCAACCAAAATGATCTTATATATTATTTATCAAATTTATCTTTCCTACATGAAATATAATAAAAATTGCAACAAAACTAGATGGGTTCGACCCAATCGAATCTTAGATGGGTTCAACCCATCCCACGTATATGCTTCCCGTCCAAAAAATAAGTGGTCTACATAAAAAAATGCCCCTTAATGATAAAACTAACTCTCACTAACCAGAGTACTACATTAACTATTATATGACAAAGATATCCCTAATTTTTCACAGCCTACCAACTGTTCCCTTCAAACACCAGCACTGATGGGTACATTTTAATAGGGTGCAAATGGATCGGATCGTGATCTAAGATTCGATCCTATTTGGTCGAATTTGGATCATTATTGCTAAGATTTTTATATCAAATCGAATAACAGGATCTAATCAGAAATCTGATCGGATTCAGATCACCCCCTATCTGGTCCGACATGTATTATATATTTATAAATATAAATATATATAATACATATATATATGTTATTTATTTATTTATAAATATAGTTTTATATTATATTTTTATAAATTTATTATATTATTTAGTTTTTATAAAAAAAACATGTATATATATGATGGAAATAATTGAAAAATTATCTGTATTTTTTGCTTTTATTTTATTTAAATTAGTATATTTTATTTTTCTTTTAATAATTTATTAATTTTTAAAGAAAATAAGCCGGATCGGATCAGATCAGATCCGAAGATTTGACTTACCGATAGGATTCAAATTCAAATTGAATCATATCGGATCGGATCCGACATAAACAGTGTCATATCAGATTCGAATATACCCTTATTCCAATCCGTTTGCATCACTACATTTTAAGTGAATAGAAGAATTTATTCTGCAATTTTTGTTCATAGATTGAGTTAAATAGAGGTTATCATTGGACTCTTGAAAAAGAGCCTAAAATATAAAAACCTCCCTTGAAGTTTTTGACAATCATGATTAGACTTGGCAAAAAGTTGACATAACCCAACCCGAAAAAACAGGGTTAGGGTCTCATATTTAGCTACCTGAATGTAAGAATGACCTGACCCAACCCAACCCGAAAAAACTAGGTTGGTTCATGGGTTAACCCATTGACCCGATTGTCAAGTCTAATTGGGACTATTTGTGCATTGTTAGAAGTTTCCACTCTTTAATTTTTCTATTTAGTCTTTACTCTTTATTGTTTACTCTTTAAATTGTTAAACGTTCAAGTTTTTTTATTTTATATTTGGAATTTTAAGGTTAATTCCTTTAATTTTGGCATTTTCATGTAGTTTTTCTTTATTTTTTTAAATTTCAGTTATTTTTTGGGATGACCCGATTGACCCATGGGTCAATCCTAACCAGAACATTTAGGGTTAGGGTCTAGCATTTGATACCCACCCCGAAGTGTCTTGACCCAACCCGAACCTGACCCACCCAACCCAATTGCCAGGTCTGTTCATGATAATTTCCCCCAAGGTTTCACTTTAACAAAACGGTAAAATATAAAAACCTCCCTTGAGGTTTTTAACAATCAAAAAACCTCTCTTATAATTTCACCTTCACAAAAGCCTCCCTTATAGTATTGAGAAAATTTGCAAATACCTCCCCTTTTTATTGTCATGCTCATGGACATAAAATGTTGGTCTAATGCATTGATTTTTCAAAAATAAATATCCATTTACCCTTCCATCTATCAATTTAGATGAAAAATTACTAAAATACTCCCAAATGAATTTTTCTCTCTTAATTAAAAAAGATGTTGGGATTAAATTGAAAAGAATAAAAATAATTTCTCTGTAAAAATGTTGGGTCCACTGAAGTTTAGAAGAGAAAATTTGGCATTTTAAATTATATTGAAAGATTCCCTAATAAATTGTAAGGGTAATTTCAAAATTTTGAAGTCTTCATTAGTGGAACAAAGATGGAAGGGAGGTAATTGTAGGTTTTTGGTAAACTATAAGGGAAGTTTTTATGAAAGTGAAACCTCAAGGAAGGTTTTTATATTTTATCCTTAGGCTCCATTCATTTACAAGTAAATATGCATGTGAAAGTTGATCAATGGGCAACTTTTTCACATTGACCAACTTTCCCATGTTCTTTTTGCATTAAGCAATGAGTCCCACGGTAAAATTACCCTTACTTTCATGGGTAAAACTTACCCATACCATAGGTGGGTAAATAACTTTCCCACATGGGACAAACTTTTATAGGTACAAATGTCATTTTATTATTTATTTGAGAATCCTGAAAATCAAAAGAACATGGGTAAGTGAACTTACCTAGGTAAACGTTACCCGGTAAACATTAAACCTGGATAAGTGCACTTACCCAATTAAGCTGCACTCTTACAAACAAACAAGGCCTTAACAAAAACTTCCCCTACCTTCCTTTCATCTTTGTCCCATTAATGGAAACTTTAAAGTTATAAAATTACCCTTATAACTTATTACGGCATCTTTCAATATAATTCAAAATGCTAGATTTGCTCTTTTAGACTTCACCAAACCTAATGTTTTATAGAGCAAAATTACTTTATTCTTTTCAATGAGACCTGTAGAAATTTTTTAATTAAAAGCGAAAAGTTTAGAGGATATTTTTATAAATTTTCATCTGAATTGATACATATAATTGTAAAATGGCTGCTTTTAAAACTAATGCATTATACCCATGTTTTTGTCTAAGACAACAACAAAAGGGAGGTAACTCTAGGTTCTTTCAAGGGAGATGTTTTATCAAATTAAAGCCTTAGGGGAGGTTTTATTATTGTTAGAAACCTTAGGTTAGGTTTTTTATATTTTATCCATAAAAACGTATGACAACTTGACAATGGAGTCGCTGGAGGTAAAAAAAAAATCATGTATGTTGTAACAATACCCCTTAATGTGCTTGGTGGTATTCTTAATTGTATTCTTTTTCATTTTTCCATTTGAAGTACTGTATTCTTTTCTATTTTCGAAGGGTAACAATATCATTTGGAAGCAAGGTTTTTAAAAACGAACCGGAAACAGAATCGGTTAGGGGACTGGTTTCCGGTTAAGCGGTTCAACTTTCTGGGTCGAACGGTTCGACTAGTGACATCATAAATAAATTCGACTAGTGACATCTCTCTCTCTCTCTCTCTCTCTCTCTCTCTCTCTCTCTCTCTCTCATTGGATGGTGGAGTACTCCATCTATTTTGTCTGAAGCAAGAAATAGAGCAGCCTTTGCTATATGGGCGGGCTTTAACACAGTGCCCTTCAAGTTGTAGGCCAATGGGGTAGCGACTCCGAAAGGGGAGATGTAGTTGACCCTGATGCCATGAGCCCCAGTTCACTACAGGCTGACCGGACCAGCCCCACCAATGCGTGCTTAGAAGTGGTGTATGAACGAGGAGCAGAGCCACTCAAGGCCGCTGCCACAGTTTCAGTGCAGACGATCGAACCACATATCTTTCTCTCCACCATAGCCCGACTTGCGTGCTTAATCATTGATGCCACCCCTCTCACATTCATGAACATGGTGTTATCGAACTCTTCCATATACATCTCTAGAATGCCACTTAGAGGACCCAAGATCCCTACTGATTGATGCAAGTGATTGCCGCTGCAAGTGGCTGCAACTGTTACTGCTGCTAAAAACCCTCATTCGTTGTTGCAAAATCGTCGGTCGTCGTTGCAAATTTGGTCACAAGCAAGCTAGCCATCCGCCGCTACAAGTGCTAGCCGCCACAAGGCCCGCCAACTCTTACTACTGGCTGCAAGTGTTGCCCGCTACCTGCAACTTTGTCGTTGGACGCCAGAGGTATTTGCCGCTGTAGGTGGGGTTGGTTGGGTGTGAGGGTTGAGAGGAGGGAACTCGGGAAACCCTAAAGCTAAAGGGACTAAACATTCAATTGGGTTGGGGAGAAGGTATTTTATTTTTTGTTTTTTTTCTATTTAAAACATTGAAAATAAAAAGGGTAACCCGCAAACCGCTGCTCGGGTCGAACACTTTAGCAGTCCGACCACCCGGGTCAGCGGTTTTATGATTTTTTCAACGATTTTTAAAAACTTCTGGTTTTTAGTAAAACCGGACTCAAGGGCTGACTGGTTACCGGTTTTCCCGGTCCAACCATCCAGTCCGATTCTGTTTTGAAAACCATGTTTTGAAGTACTGTATTTTTTTGGAAAAAATCCCGATAAGTACCTTGTACTTTAGGCCTAGTGTCAATTTAATGCCCGAACTTTAAAACGCGACAATTTAATTCCCAAACTTTCAATCAGTACCTGGCGTTAACTCAGCATCAGTCGAAACCATCACGTGAGGTGAGGTGCGATTTAAATGTTTTCATAATGCCAAAATTAACCTCCATGATAATTTTCAAACCATTTTACCCTTTTCTCTTATTTTTCCCTTTTCCCCTTTCTCTCTCAATCTAGGTTGAAGAAGGATCAAGGGAAGTGGTGAGCGCAGCCCTTCATTCCGAACACAGTGTTCATACGTGGTAAGTGTAGCCTTTGGTTCCGACCTCCACGGTAATTTTCTGAACTCCTGCTCTTGCTCGCGTAGGTGGTAAGCTTCGATCAATTCCAACTTCCAACTTGAAGGAACATAGAGGAGAAGAGAGGAGACTGTTCACGCGCAGGTTGAATGAACGTCCAAGAAGGTGGTAAGCTTTAAACTCCTAACGTCTGATCAGTTTCACAAATTAGCTATCGTGCTAGAGTGGCTGAGTGGCTGCCTGTCAGGTCGTCCGTTATGAGAGAGCGCAAGGTCCAATTCTGAGAATTGATGAGGGCGAGGAGCTTGCCGACTTTTGGGATGCTCTAGCTAGTGCTCCGCTTCTTAGTGATGATCTTGACAAAGTGGCCGACAAACTCGATTTTTCTGCCAGTAAGGATCAGGTTGCAACGGCAATTCGTCTTGGGGTTGGTGGGAAGAAGGTGGATGAATATGATTTGGACTATGAGATTTTCCAGAAGGCGCTTTCGGGTGGTGTGGTTATACAGAGAAAAAGAACCTAATTTTTCAGGTTGAAAAAGTCCCTTTCCCTAATTTTCTTCCTCTTCTTTTCATTTGATTTGTTTGAAGGGGAAAGGTGGCCGGTTATGAAGTATATATGTAGAAAAATAAATGAATGCGCAGCAAGAAATGGATGAGGATTGGTACATTGTCTAGGAAGAAATGGATGTCCAATGCCTCTACTTTTTGTCTGATCAGTGCTGGCCATTGGTACGTTGCCCACCAAGAAATGGATGGGGATTGGGAAATTTTGATTTTTTGACAAATGGTTATGAAGTGTATATGGAAAGAAAGTGTGAATTAAGGCTCTCCATCACTTCGTAATGGTCTCACCTGTGTCTCTGTAATTCGATCAGTTTGTTTACTCAGATTCATCTGGAGCTCTCTACAAAGCTACAGCCAACAAGTTAACAGAAACAGCTTGGCCAAACCCAATAGTTGCACAGCTGGACCTTGAACCCTCTAAGAAAAACCAAATTTTGCCGGAGGCATCAGAGATGGTGGGAACAAAAGGTTCAGTAGCTGGACCTTGAACTCTCTAAGAAAAACCAAATTTTGCCGGAGGCATCAGAGATGGTGGGACCAAAAGGTTCAGTAGCAGTAGCTTCATATAGGCTGATCAGAAAATCCCTAAAAATCTTGCATTAAAATCAACCAGAAGTCAATGTAATATAAATACAATAAAAAAGCATAGAGAATAATAGATAAAAGCAAAAAAAAAAAACCCTGGTCGCCTCTTCCGGCACCAGCAACAAGGGGTCTTCTTCTCCGGCAACGGTTGAGTTAGAAAAAGGGGTACCATTATCAGATGTGATTTCTTCCGGCAATTTCTTCCACAATACACGGAGCAGATCTTCGTACGACGTTGTCTGGTTTGTCACTCGTCGATTTCAACTTTTCCGGCTTCGCATTCCTCTTGACATTACCAACGTGTGGAACTGGTTTCTTCGAAACTTCAGGTAATAGAATAGGTGAACAATGGTTCCCACTTGTAGAGAAGGGATTATAGCTGCGGTCATTTTCATCATTTCAAAAAATAGTTCACACATTGGTCGAACTGCAGGTGTGTATTCCGACTGATGGTGAGTTAATGCATTTGTCGTAAATTGAAAGTTTCGGGTACTAAGTTCGTGTACTAAATTAGTAATAGGCCTAAAGTATAAGGTAATTATCGGAAAATTTTCCTATTTTTTTATATTTTTTATAATTCCATCTTTGTTTGCATTTTTTTTGTATTTTTGTTGTATTTTATCACTTTTATTTATATTGTATTTTTTTGTTTTTAAAATTTTTAGTGTTTTTGTATTTCCTCATTTCTTTGTTATATTTTCTCCAATTTTCTTTTTTTTTTGTGTGTGTTTTGTTTTATGTTCCTCTTTTTCTTCATTTTTTTTATATTTCTTATATTTTCTACAATATCCTACTTTACTTAAATGTTATATTTGTATTGTATTTTATCATTTCTCTAGAAAATAGTCTCATAAAATGTTATAAGAGAAGTTTGGAGTTTTAAAATAGTTAAACATGCACATGAGAATATGTTTTTAATTAATTGACAAATGCTAATAAAAGGGGAAAAATGATAAACAAAATTCAAGGTGGGTTTTTATTACAAATAAAAGTTCGAGGATTAAGTGTCACAATCCCAAAGTAAGGGTACTCATAATATTATCCAAAAACCCTAATTTCACACCCATTTTATGAAGAAGTGAGTAAGTACTTTTAATCAAGGTTTAAAGTGTCAATATGATACTCTTGATACGGGGCATATTATATTTGTATCTATGTCCATGGATATGGGATACGTTTGGGTACATATCCCACTATCCCACAAGTTGTGCATATCAAGATGATACATCTCTAGATCAGTGCCTACTTACCGCTTTTGGATTGTTTTCAAACTTTAATTTAATAAAAACTGGAAAGTATAATTAAAAAATGAAATAAAATTATAATTATAAAACTGAAATAGGTAATTTGAGATTTAATTTTTTCCCAAAAGTTTAATAAGAATTTAAAGTTTTAAAAATAATTTATTTTATCTACCTTAAAAATTAATATATTTTATTTTACAATTATATGCTAAAAATGAAAACCTATTTGTTATTTGAAAATTGGAGATTCTTTATGTAGAAATACCAAATAAACGAACTTTCCAAAAAATAATAAAAATTGAAAATCATAAGTGATAATCATTGTATGATGTGTACATGTTTTAGAGTCCTAGATTGCAATGTTTTTATTCATATAATTTATTAATGTGTGCATTTTTCATATGTTTATACCTTATTCATAGATAATTCTACTTTAGATTTAGTATTATTAATGTATTTATATGATTCGTATGCATTTTTAGTGCATTCAAGCATTTCAATATCTTTCATCCATATTCATGTGTTTCAAAAGTGTATCCATACTTTCCAATGCATTAATGTATTTATGCTTTAATCTTTAAGCTTTCAGTATTATTAATGTATTTATACTAATACTTTAACGAGTTTAATCTTTAAGCTTTGATTTTAATTTTGCCACCCACCTTTTAATCCTATCCTATATGGTAAGGTAGCGCCTACAATTTTGAATTGGGTCAGAAGGAAGGACCACCTAGGCCATTTGGTCGAAGATTCAATCCAACAGGACGTGTCACGGGCCACATATTGTACTTTAGGCTGTGTTTGGTTGCAATGCAAATAAATTTGCACTGATGTGAAACTGTGGCAATGAAAGTGTTTTGAGTCCTATTTTTGTCTCAAATTTTAACTTATATATTTAATTGCATTACAAATGAAGTAAATTAAGACATGAAACAGAATAAAGTAAAACCTAAAATAAAATTAAATAAAAATTTACATTTTTTTCATTTGCACTCCCATACATTTGAACTAATACGATTAAAATTGCACTACAACCAAAAAACAGTCTTGAGCTTTTGATGTTTTTGTTGTCCACCATGATACATCTGTATGTCCTCTCTTCCTATGTGAAAAAGCCTGGTAGGACTTTCATTTATCACCCAGGCCTGGCCAGGAATAAGGTAACTGAAAGTCATGTTGCAAGTTTAAACCTATTGTCGGATGAGGGGTTTGATTTTCTTGTTTGGTTTTACTACAAAAAAAAAAAAAGAGGTTTTTACCGACCACCGGCACAAACTTCATAACCGCCGGTATTGATTTTATGCGGCGGTCTTTCTTTCCCGGTATAACCACTGTCGGAGAAAGTTATGACCGTCCCAACCTTTATTCAAAACCGCCGGTAAATGTGATACCAATTTGGACCATTAAATCAAACCATTACCGGCGGTTTGCCAAAATTGCTGGCCATAGCTGGGGATTTTGTCATCCTGAAGATGAATGCTAGTGCGCTAGAATTGAAACTTCTCTTAGAATTATTTGAAAGCGGATCCATATGCCTTGTTGATGAACTTTTCTGAAAATACCGATTACCAAGATAAGACTGAATAGACCTCCTCAACGGTCTTAGAAGTAGTGGTGTGTTTTGTCCATCAATGGTGAGATGGATGTATTTCCATTTGCAAGTTGGTTTACTTTATGATTTGCTTTCTTCGACGTTTAGCTTCCTTTGAACTTGTGTTCATCAGTACTGATCTATGCATGAAACTCGCGCGTTTACGTTCTCTTTTTAATCCGGTTGAGAAGATAACATTTGCTCTAGTCTGCTTTGTTATCCTTAATTCGAAGTTCGAACTACCAAAAAATTTGCTTGCTATTTATAGGTGTACTCTGTTTGCTTGTTTTATTAATTATTATTATGGATGCCTCAATATTGCATTATGTTGGGTGAAAATGTGTGGTACGTAGTTTCTCCATGTGCAAAAAAGTGTCATTTACAGGAGACACACAGATTTCTGGTATGATCAATGTAAGCATAAACTTGAACATTAAGGAAAAGTGTCATTTACCATTGATTTTTGTTTTATAAGATTACGATTGATAAAATATGATAAGACCACAGGTGGTTTTTGAGGCAGACTTTAATCTTTTCATCAACCAGAAATATGTTTCGTTCTTCAGGGCAACATATAAGATAAGGCCGGAAATGAGAAGAATTTGTACAATTCTAGTACAGGATACATGAGATGATGCAACTTTGGTTTTGGTTCTGCCCTTTATGATAGCGGTTACGTTATGCCTGTAAAACAGGTAACTTATAATTTGAGCTGAGCTTCGTGGTGATTTGGCGAAATGTTGTCCTTTTCTCTTTGGTGAAATCAAAGCTTTCATCATATAGCTGAAACCGACCAGAGAACTATTACATCCAAAAAAATGCATTTTTTTCATTTTTTTTTTCTGGAACCACAAAGTAGCTACCCTGGCTCCATTAATCAACCAGCATTGAATCCATGATACCAAGTAGCCTCTATTCTAATGATAATGATGCTCACTTCTCATCTAGTCTGAGTTGAGGTTCAAATGTCGGAACTAAAATGTAGAGATGCAAATTGATCGGATCGGATTCAAATTGGGTGATATCCGATCTGATCCAATCTCACAAAGGTCATTTCGAATTCTAATCCATTAAGGATGTTGGATATTCAAATCTGATCTTTCATTTAATTTTGTAAAACTTAACAAATATTAAAAAAAGGCATAACAGTCTATAAAAAAACAAAAAACACAACCATTTTTGTCATATATATACATGTCTTTTTATAAAAAGATTAATATAAAAATTACAAAGATGCAATATAAAAATATTTATAAATAAATAACTAATTATGCATATTGGATTCTTTTGAATCAGATAAGGTGATCTGAATTCAATCTGATTTAATTGGATCCTATTATTTGATATGATCCAAAAATCCAACAGGGATACATCCAAATCCAGCAAAATAGGGTTTTGAATTTAGATTGGATCATTATCTTACTCATTTGCACTCCTACTAAAATGAGATATAATGAAGAGCAGATAAAAAGTCATTTTTTTGTGGTTTTATATATCAACCTTTTGGAGACATCCACAGGGATGTTCATGGTGTCAATACAATCATCTGTCTGTTATCGAGTCCAGCTAACCGTTTAAAATTATCAAAGGTGTTTCTTCCTGAATCAGTTAATCATTAGGAAAAAAAATTACTTGGAGTCGGGAATGGGTATTGTTTTGGCGGGGCAGAGACGTGAACAAGGATGGGTAATGAAGTCTCAACCCCAACACTATATATATATTAATTAAAAAATTTTGGGAATTCAGATCCCTATGGGGAACCCGTCTCCATTGGGGATTGGGGTCAGGGACGAGGAATATGATCTCTGCCCAGTTGCAATTCCTACAAACAGTGAAAAATGCCTTATCGCTCCAATGGATGGTTCTCATATAACTTGAGAAAAATGTTTTATTTTTTCTTTTATAAACATCTTAACGAAAAAAATTTTAGGCTCCATTGGGGAAAACATGTATTTAGGCTCCACCGGGGCTACCTGCAAGCTATTTTCGGATGGCCTGTGGAATTTCTGCCACAAGGAGGGAATGTTGTCAATCTAAGGCATGTCAAGAAGGGAGGGGACAACTCCCTGGATTGGCTCTATCTTCTCTCTCGAGGACATGTAGTTAGGATCTGGGGTCATCTACTCTATACCCTGGATTAGCAATGCATGTGTGTGTGTATGTTGTGAGTTGTATTACCGTATTAGAGAGTTAACCAGAGATTCGTTTTTTTGTTTCTAAAACTACCCAGAGAAAGTTAGAACGTAGTGAGTTAGATGAAAGGGGCATTGGCACCGAAGTGGCACTCACCATGGCACAGATACAGATTAAAGTCGGTAGATTTCTATTCATAACTCAACTCTTGTCAAGTTTCAAGTGAAAGATCACCGAGTTAGTCTAAAATATGCTGCCTTTTTACAGGTTCTTTCACTGAGTTGGTCTAGAATTTGCTGCCTTTTTGAAGGTATGACAAATATTGAACGATCACTGATACTTTGTCCTTTCCTTTTGAACTAAAGTCTTTTTGCAGCAAAAAAAAATGAAAAAAATACACTGTGACCAACTGCAGAGATCTGAATTCCGCTGCAACCTTCCATAATTCAGAATGACAAGTACCTCCACCCTAAAACATCAATACCCGCTTTGTATCAATTTCAAATCGACACTTATCCCAACAATTCGGTGGAATTAAGAATTATTAGGGTGTACTGAACAATCGTTCTCCTAAAAAAGAAACAGCTAAAACTTGATTCTTTTACAAAAATAGGAGGTTATAAACTAATGATTATACCATTTAGTGCTTCAGACCCGTGGGAAGAGCTGATTTCTGACTTTTTCCTTTGATACTTAACAGCTGATTTCTTAGGGTGGTATTAAATCAGGAATATTTTTTTTTTAATACGAAGATAAAAGAGGTACGGTGGGATCCATTCAGCATGCTTTGTACCGGTTGCGCCAAGTAAAATAGATTTGGGTCCTAGTTGATCCTAGTAGTTTGAGACTTTGAATTGCTTTCAAATGTATTGTTTTGATACAAGTGTTGACAATAAAAAGTCATTTTATTGACACGAGGTCTTAACTCATCACAGACGCAATGTTTTAAATTTTTAATTTCTTGGACGCAATGTTCATCAGTCTAATCGTAATGCTTATTGATGTGAAAGAAAAGTACATGAACCTGAAAATATCCAAGACCCTGGCTCATCTTCCAGAATAGATTTCTCATACCATTTTATTTTCAAATATCAGAAATAACCACAACAAACTACCATTGGGGAATTTGGATCCAAAAACGAAGGTAAAATCTAGTTTGTGTACGAGAAGGGGCAGGGAACATACAAATACAATGGCCAAAACATCACACTCTAACTTGCGACTCCCTTCTCACAGGACAGTATTATATTTTACCAAGAGTTCGATTAAATAAAAAATGGAAATATGGAGGATATGCATTCTACCTTGTTACTATTACAAAATTATGCACCCGAACGGTTATTGGTGCACCAAAAAAAAAGAAAAACCAGACTATGAAGAAATATTAAGCACCTTTCAGGCGGATGGGTCATTTAGGCTGGGCCACTAGAGATTCCGTAGGTTCTTGTAGGGATGGATTGACGGGGAACAGCTCGCATTGTGCATACTGTGACATTAATTGATCTACTAGCACCATGGCTACCATGGCTTCCACCATTGGCACAGCTGTGTCATAAGCAACAAAACAAAAAGATTGTTAATAGCAGAAATAATGCAAGTCTATCTATCTGACACAAAGATTACAAAAGAAAGCATCCGAGAACATCAAGGACTCATAATAGAAGAGACACCTAATCCATGGGAAAAGAGCAAACCTCGAGGGACAACACAAGGATCATGGCGACCACGTGCTAGGAGTTTTATCTCCTGTTTCTCTCTAGTTACAGTGTTCTGCTTCTTCTGCAAATGCATTACATCAATGCAACACCTCATATCAGCTTGTAAGTTACAGATGTTCAAGAAAGAAAACAATAATGCCTAAGATTCCACCAATGTGAGCATGTCTTACACCACCAGTCCCAAGCCCGGATAAAGGAAGGTTGCGTCAAGTTGGCATCTGGCATTACAACTTTCACCAAATTCTTATGGTCCTGGGTCCTGAATTGTGACACACTACACCTTGATCCAGGTGTGGTGAGAAATGGACAAGGGTATGCTAGGGCGTATGATTTTAAGCACTCATAATTTAACAATGGATATGGCCCTAAACAGAATGGAATGATAAAACAGGTTTCATATAGCCAATCCCATGTGGATGAGAACCTGAGACAAGGCTTGATGATGATGGTGATGATGATGACGACGGCGATATAGTGATATTGAATCAGGCAGGTTATAGAAGCTCCCACCTCTGTAGATCAAACATACCATTAAATCGACTGACCTAGGAGATCACCTAGAAGAAACATTTATTTGAATCCAACAAAGGTAAAGATTCCCCATCATGTTTATTTTGGACAATACAGCACATAGAAACCAATCCACAAGCTGTGGTCAAATAGTTATATTATTATATTAAGCCCCTTTCAACATCAAATAGAGATCTCCTGAACCATGTATGTCTATTAAGCCCCTCAATTTTAGAATCATTATTGGCAGTAAACTGCAGCCACAAGGAGGTTTTTCCCCACTCTAATCTGGAATGTTCAGGGAAAATAAACACAAGAAAGGTTTTTTTTTTAAGCCCACGAGTAAGAAAGATTAGAATACAAACAAAAAAAAAAAAAAAACAAGTAAATATAGATCAACTTACTCCAATGGTGGCCGTTGGTTTGAAAGCAATTCTCATGTTTATGATTTCCCCATTAGATATTCCCCCCTGCACCATTATAAACAATACAAGGGAACTATCTAAGTTTGAAGGGAAAAAAAACAATCTTAAGCCCTTTGTTAACCCCACCACTACCAGGTCCACCAAGTGAGAAAGAGAAGCTTTTACCTGTATCCCACCAGACCGATTTGTCCTTGTCCTAATTCTTCCATTTTTGTCTATATAGAACTCGTCATTATGTTCACTACCAGTCAAAAGTGTACCTGCAAGCATTGTCAATTCATCATTAGTACGAAAAAACCATAGACAACAGGGGATTTGATTCAGAAATAATTCCATGTGCTTCTTTTACCTGCAAATCCACTCCCAAATTCAAACCCCTTTGTTGCAGGCAGTGACATGCAAGCTCTAGCCAGCTCTGCTTCAAGCTTGTCAAAGACTGGTGAGCCAAGCCCCTGACATAAAATATGAGCATTGTTTTTATTAATTGAAAGATATAGACATTATGTGACTGTACAGTTGTCAGGTCCTGCAAATGCTTCAAAGGTCAACTGACTGCCTTGAATAAATCTGGGCTGCTATGCTAGAAGATCATACCCCAGCAGATCCCTAGACTTACCAGAGAACAGTGATTCTAAATTTCTAGGAGTCTCTTGTAATATTAAGATGGTTGGATAGAAAGCAGGTCACATTACACTATAGGAATATGCCCAGGGAAATCAGAAACCTAATGGGGGCAAATGAGGATGAGAGTGGAATGGATTACTTGAGCTGCTAATAGTTTGGCAGATTGGTTGGTAAAACAGGGTGCTAGACGTTTGATTTGGGGGAGTTGTTAGCCAAGGTCGCCTACCTTACTATGCAGATCATGTACTCCTTTTTCTAACTTTGATCATTGACAAAATTGTTGAATTGTTATTGATCACACACGCGCACAAAACAACAACAATTTCAACGCAAGATTTTTAGACCAAGTGTTAATAGTTACAGATAATGTCATTATAACAGCATAATACCTTTATAAAATGGATACTGTTATGTATTAAACAAATATATCAAATAAATGGTAGAAATTCCATTTTTCGCTATTCAAAATTTGAATAATTCATACCAAATTAAACACTAAAAACCACTGAAGGCACAATATTTTAACTATTATTCAGGAAAGGGCACCTACATAAGATAGTATATAGCAGGAAACTAGATTGCTGAAACTCCTGCCAGGGTAGGGCTGGTAGGAGTAAGTGACTTGTGCTCTTCCCAAGCCCCTGAAGCTTGGTGGCTGGTTCAATCCTTTGTTTGGAAATAGATGGTATTTGTACTTCTATTTTTCTTTTTTTCAAATGGCTACCACACAAGATCAAATACTAAAAGCAGCCTTAACAAAGCTTAAAGAATTACTTAAGTAATTAATGAGAAAATTAAAAAGATGAAATGACTTTGTTACAGATTATCCTATTGCCATCGGCAATGAATAACATTTTCTAAATAAAATAAAGTAAAAGAAAAGAACAAGAAACTAGTTCTCTAGGTAGGCTTCTGTGCAGCTTCTATCTGTCAAAACATTATTTAGATTTGAAAGTCAAAACATAAAAAAATAGTTTAGCAAAAACAAAACAAGGATGATTTAGTAATTGCTTACACGAGGAACATTCCTTGCGATGCAGGTCACAACACCACCAATAGAGTCCCCTCTCACTCGGACAGCATCAATGGCAGCAATCATCTTCTCAGCATACTCTGGATCTGGGCACCTGACAATATTGCTTTCTATCTGTCATAATTCACAGAATGAAGTTATTAAAAAACTTATATAAGGAAAATAGAGATCGTGTAAGATGGCCCTAGAAATGCCAAGATTACATTGAAGGTCACATAAATACATATTTTACAATACTCAAAAAATTTTTATTGGTTTCCACCATCTTCATTTGTATCTAATATAGCTAAGACATACACATGAGGATTGGGACTGGATTCAAGGTACCCAACAAAATGAGTCCAGAAATTCCTGGATGCTGAGAAATCTCCACAATTACAGCATGATATATTATTAAAAAATCAGTTACAGACAATCAATGTAAGAATGGAATAACGCCAAAGTTCTATGACTGGATTCAAGAAAGGTACCCAACAAAATGAGTCTAGAAATTACTGGGTGCTGAGAAATCCACAATTACAGCATGATATATTATTAAAGAAATCAATTACAGACAATCAATGTAACAATGGAATAACGCCAAAATTTTATGCTAGGAAAAGGAAAAGGTGAGGGTACATATGTATTTCATGTAATCTATTTATCCACTCATGTCACGAGCTTAGGAATAAAAGCAGCATCCACAACGGAAGTCCTCATTAAAGCACAACAGAGATGGAATATTGCATTTATGTAGTATCTACTTTATAATTCAAAGGGACTTCTCTTAAATACTTGCAAAGAAACCCAATGGACATCCTTAGGTCATCCCCCAGTCACAGCCTACAGAAGTCACCTCCCCTCCATCTATGCAATGTGACATTGAGTTCCAACTCCTTAGGGGGCTTTTTGGTGGAATGCTCACCAAGTCTGACGGGAAGTATTGTGGGTCTTTAGTGGCTCCATAGAAGACCCAAAGACCACTAAATAAAAGATTCTAGCTTCTATTAGAGGCTGGATAGCAAAGACTCCACTCTTCATCTTTAGTCATTAAATGAGATTCAACAACTGTTGTAAGATGAGACAGCAAAGAGCACAGGGGCCTTAATAGATGGTTCATTACCTAAATGAAATCAGGGGATTTTTTTGGTGAAATCAGGGATATTTTATTAGCCTTTCCAGGCCAAAGACGATGGGTTCCAAGTGAATTAAATCATTGCTGACAGTCTTGCATGGACGGGTGTAGGAAGGACTTGTACAGTGATAGCTCTAATTTATGTTGAGCGGTGGGGCTTAAAGGTTTCTTTCCCTGTAATCTCTTGAACATGCATCTTCTCATGCACACTCTTTGACAATAAGTTCAAGGTCACCTTCCAAAATAATTAAAAGGAAAAGATGTGGGGCTTGTTTTTTTCTATAAAAGAGTGACACTAAGGCTATGTTTGGTTTGAAGGAAAATGCAGGGAAAGGTAGGAGAACCTTTACAAGCCTTATATAGGTTTCCTGTCTTTCCCTTCCTTTCCCTACCTTTTCCTTCAAACCAAACATAGACTAAAGATGCACCATTTGCAATTCTGCTCCAATGTAGATATTTTCATGCCTTATTTTGTCAGACATGCTCCATATGCAATTATGCATCACATGGAACATCCGCCCAGAGTTGGATCCTGCAGACTCTTTGCCTCAACAGGGGGCAACTTCAACAGTGTAAACATGGTTAACAAGGTGATGCCTAAGCAACAAGGCACCCATGGAGGGTTGCCTCACTTAAGTACCTAGCTACTTTATGCATGGCGCTAAAAAATATTTTTATATTCTTTGCTTTTAAGATTACAATAATAAAATATACATTAAATTATTCATTTTGTGAGTTTTACTAGCTTCTTTTTATTACTTTATTTTTCCTTCTTTTTCCTAGGACAAAAGCAGGGGCTCAAACCTTATATCTTCTGAGTTTTCTTTTCCTTCTTTTTCTTCTCATGAATATGTTGATTTTCCATATTTTAAAATAAAGTTCATATGATTTTTATGAAGATTATTAATGATTACTAGTGAAAGAAGATTGCTGGTTGCAATGGAACCTATGGTAACACCTATATATATATATATATATATATATATATATAATCCTTAGCCTAGGTGACTAAGCAACAAGGCAACCCCCTGTCACCCAGCCTTGCCTTGGCACCTTGAAAACTACGAGTATAAAACAACTGTTATGGGAGTTTGACCAACCAGAGGTTTGATGCCTTGGGCTCATGGAACCAAAGAGAGAACTATTACATTCTTATAATCATCTACAGATCCCCTTTCCTTGCACCCCCACAAAGAAGAAAGAAAGAAAGAAAGAAAGGAAAGAAGAAAACTTAACAGTACAACTTTCTTTTCTGGACATTTTCACCATAGACTGAATAATTGGCAACACGAAGACCAGAAACTAGTACCTTTTTTATAAGAAAACTAGCATTAGTTTTGTTAATCGCATTATTTAGATGTTTTCCCTTATCTGCCCATGTAGCCTTCTGAATTTGGAACATTACAAAGTTATTTGAGAGATTATATTGCAACAAGCCAAAGGCTGATAAAACCAGGATCAAATTTCAGTTCGAGTTCTTGTATTTGAAAGGAAATATGCTACTGAAACCACTGGAACGCTGCAGGTGGCATCAATCAAGATCATCACCAGCCTAGTGCAAATGGTAGGTCAAACTTTACAGGTACTAATGTGATACCAACCATACTGATTATGGTGAATGCATCAATGCAAGCGATACAAGATTAGCCATTACAGAGCCCTATGATGGACAAGACTCATGATCATTGCTCTACTAGTTTTTAATTACCTAGGGTTTCTAAAGTATTGATTTGACATCCAAGGAAGCCAAATTTCCAAATAAGCAGAAAATTACATGGTTTTGTCATGCACCTGCAGGACTTCACCACAGAAACCATTAAATGAGTGTTAGTCAGCTCACCTCTTCAAGTGACAAAGTTTCATGATTAACCAAGCCCTCAGAAAGAACGACATTATGCACTTGAGAGACATATGCAAGAACCTGAAGTTTATAGACAATAAATATAGAATGAGAAAAATGTGAATGGGAATAAGCATACAAGTCCATACATAAGTGTGTGTGTCTGAAAATGCAATTTCCAACAAGGAAAAAATCAAAAAGATAATAAATAATGTTATCTGCTTATACATAATAAATATTGATTGGTTACTACATAACCATAGCATATATGTATAAAAAATAGAGTTGTCGGCATGTTATCAATGTTTTAAACAGCATCAGGCATCAAACATGTCAGTGAAGCTGGTACTTGATAGGTCCAATTTGAATGAGTTGATTGGGCCAAAGGTACAAGGTTTGGGGGAGGGGTGTAGTGTATTTATGGTGGAGACATGAGAGGGTGTGTGATGGCCTGATGGGAATCTTAAAGAGACTCTAAGGACATTTTCTGGAAAGCGTCCAAAGACATCTCTAGGTATTCCTTTTTTTTTTGTATTCTCTTCAACTCCTAGCAGCAGGGCTATTTTGATCCTTCCAATGGAAGTCAGACTGTCAGTAGGACCTGTCCAAAGTACCATGTTAATGTGGTTTTCCTTTATATCTGATTGTAGAAAGTTGGTTTACATTCTTAAGACTTAAAATAACTTTTTTGATAGATTATTAATTAGAATAAAAACACAGTATACATCATACAACTCCCCACAAAGAGGCGTGAGGTGCAGCCTCCAAACTACATCATAAAGCTTACAATTGAGCCCAAAAGAGCTGATTCCTATGTACTCCTTGTTTGGCTAGGAAATCTGCCAGCCCATTTGCCGATCTTCTTTCCCATTGAACTGTGACTGAGATATTTGATGTTAGCCACTTAAATCTTCTCAAAGTCCTCCTGTAAGGCCATGCTGCCATCTCCAGTTCTTTTAGCCGTGCAATAACCAATTTGGAGTCACCTCCAATCTTTAAATGCTCCACTGCCAACTCTTTTGCAATTTCTGCTCCCTGTATCACAGCTTGAAGTTCTGCATTAACTGAATCTTCCATCCCTATAGGACCAGAAAATAGAGCTACAATCTGGCCCTCAGCATTTCTAATGACTCCCCCTATTCCAGATGGCCCCGGGTTGCCCAAACTACTGCCATCAAAATTTAATTTAATGAAGCCTAAATCAGGAGGCTTCCAATCCACCAAAGACTTGCTTCTGACTGCAGAACTTTTGGCTAGTTGTTCCCAATTCCTACTTATATCATCAAAAGAGTAGGATGAGAACAGGTCCAAGGATTTTACCCATCTTATAGCCCTACATAAAACACTTTCTAACACACATGTCTGATCCCTCTCCTTGTCATTAAAGACTCTAGCATTTCATTCCTCCCACACAATCCACACCAAAGCATCCTCCACAAAACTCATCCTCTTCTCTTTGGCCACCTGAAAGTTGTAGGGTCAAAAAGATTGCAAATCTGCTCCGATTCTGTCCACCTGCACCCAAAAAGATCAAAAAGCTTTTCCCAAAGGCCTACAACAAAAGGGCAAGTGATTAGTATATGGTAGCAACTTTCTTCATTTGTTTTGCATAGGGTACACCAGTTAGGAGAGATACAAAGACCAGATCTTCTTTTTTGCAAAACATCCAAAGTGATGATTTTTCCAAGGGAGGCTTCCCAACAAAGGGCTCCCACTTTTGGAGGACAGGTTTGGACTAGACTTCATTGTTATGAAAAGGTTGAGGCAACGGAGAGGAGCACAAGGAAGCAAAGAAAGAAGCACAAGAGAAGGATCCCAAGGGAAAAGGCTTCCAAATACGGGTATCTAGAGAAGAAGAGTCCAAGCAAACAGGATCAAGAGTTTTAAGGAGCAAAGCAACCTGGTCAAGCTCAGAACCTCTCAAATCTCTTCTAAAACCTAGGTTCTAGTTTATACCAAAAAAAAAGGAGGAGGACACAAACCTTTGAATTGGCTCATTTTTAAAACATGAGATGGAATACAAGGAGGGAAAGAGGTCCTTGAGGGTGAAGTCACCAATCCAAACACCCTCCCAAAACAAAATCCTATCTCCAGTACAAGTGTCATACCTGATCAGGTTCAGGAAAAAAGGAAGAATACTATGAATAGCCTTCCATGGAGACTTCAATGTAGCCCGCCAAGATAAACCAGCATCCCAACCATTGCCTGCAACACCATGCACACTCCTTACAACTTTATGCCAAAGTCTTTCCCTTTCTAGAGGCCACCTGCACAACCATTTGCCTAGCAAGGCTGTATTTTCTTCCTTAGATTGCCTATTCCCAAACCCCCTTGCTCCTTCCTCCTACACACTATTTCCAACATGATCCTTCCTTCCCCCGACTCCACAAAAAATCCCTCATGACTTTCTCTACTTTCAAAATCACCTTTTGTGGCATTCTAAAGACTGAGAGAAGGTAACTTGGCAAATTCAAAAGAGTAGCTCTTATTAAAGTGATACGACCCCCGAGGGAAATGTAGTTTCTCTTCCAAACTACCAGCTTCTTTGTGCATTTTTCTACAATCGAATTCCAAAATCTTCCTTCTCTTGGACTATCTCCTAAAGGCATACCCAAGTACTTCAAAGGCCAGTTCGAGGTAAGGCAACCTATGGACTCTGCTACCTCACTCAACTCCTCCATCTCCAAATTTACCCCCACTACACAACTCTTTTCGAAATTGACCTTCAACTTCAACACGCATTCAAACAATTTTATTACTCATTTCACGTTCCTAGCCTTTAAGGGGATCTCCAATCTCAAAAAAAAAAAGATTGTATCATCCGCAAATTGCAAGTGTGTTACCACAATACCCTCTCTTCCTACCCTCCATCCTCTAAACATGCCCAAACCATCAACTCTCGAAATGAGCATACTAAACACGTCAGCTACCAGAGTGAAAAGGAAAGGAGAAAGAGGATACCCTGGTCTCAACCCTCTAGAGGTTGAAAAGAAGTCTCTAACCACTCCATTAACTAAAACTGAAAAATGGCATGTTTTTAAACAAGCTTCAATCCAACCACACCATTTCTCTCCAAACCCAAAGTTCCTCAAGGACTCCGACAAAAAAGACCAACCAACCATGTCATATGCTTCTCCAAGTCCAGTTTACATACGAAACCTTTTTCTCCATTCTCTTGAAGTCCTCCACATATTCATTTGCTATCAAGATTTGATCTATAATCTGTCTTCCTTGAATGAAGTCCCCTTGTGATTGGCTTATTAAATTAGAAAGGGCTAGTTTTAACCTTAATGACAACACTTTGGCCATAATTTTATAAATGTTAGTCACTAGGCTGATGGGCCTAAAGCCTTTCGGTTGGAAAGCATCTCCCTTTTTAGGTATCAAGGCCTGGAAAGTGGAGTTGATCCTTGGACTTATAAAGGGAACATCCACAAACTCCACAAATACTACCAACAAATCTAACTCGATGATATCCCAGCAATCCTAAAAGAACGCCATAGTCAAATCGTCAAGTCCAGGTGCTTTAGATCTATCCATTGAAAACACAACTCCCTTTATTTCTTCCAAGTCAAAATCCTTTTCCAGCAAATTTGCCACCTTAGGGCCCAATCTAGGCCACTATAAGCCTCACAACCCCTTGTCTTTTGTAGACTGCCCTGAAATGATTCATGAAAGCATTAGCAATCTCCTCTTGATTATCCACAACTTCACCGTTGATCTCTAACTTTTCTACGAAGTTCTTTCTCCTTCCATTAGCAATTGCATGGAAAAATTTAGTATTGTCATCCCCTTCCTTAATCCATTGATGCCTTGATTTCTGCCTCCAACAAATCTCTTCCCTAAGCATTATTTCTTCCAACTCCTCCAAGGTCCATCTTAAATTCCTTTCTTCTTCTGAGAGAAAATTGTGTCCTTTTTCATCCAAGAGTTCAATTTGGGAGATAACATTTAATTTCTTCTCCTCCACTCTCTCGAAATGCTCCATGTTCCTAGGGGTGGATTCAAGCCGAGCTGAGCCGAATACTTGGCTATTTGAGCTTGGCTCACAGGAATAGTATCAAGCTAGAGACTTGAGCTCGAGCTCGAGCTCGGTTCATAGCTCGCAAGTTCAAGCTCGGATCGGCTTGAGCTCAAATTTAAGCCAAGCTTTTTTTGAAAAATAAAAATTATATGCATAAAATTATTTTTTTTATTTTTTAGACAAAATTAAGAATTGTAAAATTATTTACCATTATATATACAAAAAAAATAATTATAAAAATTATTTACCATTATACATATATGCATGTATGTGTGTATGTATATATATATATAGATATATATAAAATAAAAATGGTTTATTTAATACTAGGCTCGCAAGCCTCACAAGCCGAGATTCATTGGGCTCAAGCTCAACTCGATTAGCAAACGAGCCTATATATTGGGCTCGAAGCTCAGTTTAAACTGAGCCAAGCCGAGCTTTTCACAAGCCAAGCTCAAATAGCTCGTGAAAGACTCGGCTCGTGGCCCCTTACCTGTTCCACTCTTTAATTTTACCTTTTAGCCTCCGAGTTTTCCAATGGAATTTGACACCCATCCCAAGGGGTCCCACCACTTCTTCACTCCACCACTCTTTAACCTTATGAGTAAAGTCTGGATGTGTTAGACACATATTTCCAAATCTGGAAGGTTTAGGCCCACTCAAAAAGTTCCTAGTTCCAATGCTTATCGACCAATGATCTTAAGTGACTCTTGGCAAGGCCCTAGCTGACAAATTGACAGCCCTAACCAATGTTCTCCCCAATCTGAACTAAAGATGAACCTATCCAGCTTAGAGCATCTCGAGGGAGGGATTGTAGGTTGGACCAAGTGAAGACAGACTGTTGGAGGGGGATTTCTAACAGTTCACATTCATTAATAAATTCATTGAATCTCCTCATGCTGATTGTGATCACTTGATTGGGATTATTGGTCTCATTTGTAAACCTGATCACATTAAAGTCCCCACCTAAACACCACTAACCCTCCCACAAACCCCTTATATCAAAGAGCTCTTCCCACATTTCGCCTCTCTCCATATCTATTCGGACCATAGACGTTCGTCATCACCCATGTACTCTTCTCCCACACTTTACTTTCAAAGAGAGTGAAAACTGACATATTAGCTCTTCCATTGGCTCCACTGCCTCTTTCCTCCACATTGTCACTATACCTCCTAAAGCCCCGCATGAAGGCATACAAGACCATCCTAATCCTCTAGAGCACCACACACTTCTCACCCATTTCCCATCCCAACCTGCCACTTTTGTTTCTTGAAGCAAAATTATATCCGGGTTTTCCTTTCTAATCATATCCTTTATTACCCTCATTTTCCTAGCACTACCCAACCCTCTTACATTCCAACTCAATATCTTCATGGAATCACTTAAAGTTCCACCCTGGCAACAACCATCCCTTACTTGAACCCTTTCCTTCTTTCCCCCCTAGCACTGAACTCTAAGTCTGTTGCAACATCTGATTTTAATCTTTCTACCTCCAATAGCTTCCTCTTTCTTGGACAATCGTTTTCCTTATTCCCCTTCTTTTTAGCATACACTATAACACTTTCTACTTCTTACTTGGATAATCTTAATATAATTCACAATGCTATTGATCAAAAAAAAACATAAGTCAAATTTTTAATCACGATGGTAAATTGGACCTGTACAAAGTACCATTTCCTTCCCATATCTCCATCCCATTTTCCTCTTAAAGGAGGAAGATGTCAGATATCCCATTTTTTACTTTGCTTTTTTTCTGTAAGTAAATGGAAAATGATATAAAAACAGAAAGTAATCAATATTTCTGATCTCTCATATGGACCAGTGCAATTCATAATAACCCTTTCTAGTTTGGTAGGTTGTTCTTTTTGGGTGTATATTGCATTCCAAGACTCATATACATCAAATAGTGAAAATGAGATGTTTCCAATTTGAACAATTTGATAATTCAGTGCATTTGTTTTTCAAAACCTTAAGAGGTAAATTCATTAGGCTATACATATGCAGAACCAAAATTAGTGCATGTCGTAAACACAAAAATGCGCAAGAGAAAAGTTAAGGTACATTTTTTATACATGGTAAAGTCTCATGGACATTGAAGATATCATGGTAAATGTTCAAAAACTCAACTAAGCAACCTAATAAACTAACCTCAGTTCCTGAAAAGTTAAGGTACATTTTTTATACATGGTAAAGTCTCAAGGACATTAGAGATATCATGGTAAATGTTCAAAAACTCAAATAAGCAACCTAATAAACTAACCTCAGTTCCTGAAAAGGCTTTAATAATTTTCTTTGCAACAGCTCCGGCAGCAACTCTTCCAATAGTTTCTCTTGCTGAAGATCTCCCACCACCCTACATTTCCATTTGGACATCATGTTAGGATAAGAAATCAAGGATTTTTAAATAAAAGAAATCTAAATCTCCTTGAATTTAAATAGTATAACTACTGTTGAAAAATTATGGAGTATACCTGTACAGATCTCACACCATACTTAAAGTCATAGGTTGCATCTGCATGAGAAGGCCTATATGCTATTGACATTTCTTTGTAGTCCTGAAATGTCCAATGACATAAAGATTACATGAATATTTTAGCACAATAAATGATCAATGAAATAAATTCAGAGCATTTAGATTTAAAGTCTAAGGAGCCTTTGGTGTTTAGATGGAATAAGATTCAGCCATAATAGCTAATGTACAAGTACAAGTAGCATAGGTGCTTGCCAATCTAGATTATTATAATAATCAGTCATTTAGGTGAAGGGTTGCATATAAAAACTACATGAACGGCCAACCTTAGCTCAACAAGAATGTTGTACCCTAGCAACCACCATATTTATTTTTCTAGTAATAGTTTCTAGTGTTGGACTACTCACATGTCCTCTTTGATCGGTATTTGGTACTTTGACCATAATTGGAGACCCAGTTGTCAATCCTGCATCAATTATATCCATCATCATTGATTGCTTCAACAAGACCACAGACAGAATAGTCATCCCTTTTTTATTATTAGTAGGAAAGAGGACATACAACTACAAGTAGAAGATCCTATAAGAAAGTATCATCCAAGATCTAACCTTCAGTTACTCCAGAATATATACGGCAAGTATCAGTCTCTTTTCTTGGGGTAGTAATTCGGCTCTGACCTGGCCTCCTGCATACAGTGGTTAACTTTAAGTTACTGGTTGGACATTGTATCATTTCAGGCATAGCAATAAAGCAGTGCTATTATAGGTGTATTCTAGGTTCATAAGTAAGCAATAGCATTTAGAAATGCATAACTAAACATATCATTCCCAATTTTGGGGTTCATTTATCAGCAATTACATAAGATTAAGAAAACGAAAAGAAATTCCTCATTACTACTGCAGCAAGAATGTAAAATCCTAGCATTGTCAATATGTATTGAAGAGTCAATGATTAAAAAAGAAAACAGTGAGAAGTCATATAATGTCAAGTTGAGTACCTTCTGTCAAGATCAACTTGCAAATCTGCTTCTGTGAGGGGAATCCTAGGAGGGCATCCATCAATTATACAACCAACACCACCCCCATGAGATTCTCCAAATGTTGTCACACGGAAAAAATTCCCAAATGTACTTCCAACTGCCTGCACCTCTGGTATTTGAAAAAAAAAATATTTAACTAAATTGCTATTTTGGTAACTTTTGTAGAATAGTCAATCAATCAAACACTAAAGCAATATTCTAACTATTTCAAGTGGCTACAGAAACCTTGTTTTGACATTCTACTTATAGGGTTATATCTTTTATTAAAGTTTAGGTTCTCAAACCCTTTCTCGCACCTAAGACAATTCCTTCTTGCCATTCCTTTGTTCTTATCATACCTTAAACTTGCATCAGATTACTCTTCATCGATGAAACTATTGGCATGTGGTGCAATTATCAGATCATCTAACCTAAAAGTTTCATCATCTTCTCGCCCATTCTGGAGATTTCATTACATTCATTTATGGCTTTATCCCTCATAATATTGGCAATCATCCATCTCAAAATCCTCATCTAGATAGGTTGTTTTGTGTATGTGTTGCTTTTCAAATTCCCAATATTCTGTTCCATAAAGCATTGATGATTCTAGTACCGACATTCTAGAGGTACACCTAATTATCATCATCCAATTTTTTTAATGGAAATATTGCCTTATTAATAATGAAACAGAGAAGTATAGAAGAGAGAGTATTAACCCCAGAAGTCTGACATGATATATAGCAAATTAGGTTCCAATTTCCTCATTTGTTACCCTCCGATACAATTGTGGTCAGTTTGCTCCATATTTGGCTAATTTATCCACCAAGCCATCTGCTTGCTTTCTTGTCCATTGAAATATTGCTTGCAAACTTTATAAGAAACATCTTCAATTGTTGTCGGAACTAAAACATAAACAGTTCATGCCTTAAGGGTATCTTTTAGCCAAACCCAACAGTGTTAATTACCCCCCCCCTAAAGTTGCATTGAATACAAATTTTCAGTTTGTTACTTATAATTTTCCTTCTAAAACATCCTCTCATAGTACCAGCTTCGGGCTTATCCTTTTTCTAGTATTGACATAAAAGATAAAAGCAACACATCCGGGAAATATAATGATAAAACTGCAAATGCTACCAAAATAACAGAAATCGGCAAGTTGATTGAGGAGAAGTAACTGTTTTTCCGAGAATACAAACCAGAAAAACACACACAAACACAGACTTGGATTAGATAGAATGGAGTAGCAAATATACAGGAACAACAAGCACCTTGCTAGCTTCAACAGCTTAACCAAGCAACAGGGAAAATTCAGGGGAGGAGGGGGAGAAAAAATTTTTGCCAGCAACGATAAAATTTGAACAAGTCTTGAAGATCTCGTGCAAAATTCCCAATTCTGACAGAAGTTTGGCCAAAACCTAGACTTAAAAGTTATTGTAGAACAAAGACGGAGGAATCAATCTAAATCCATTCTTGCTACAACGGGGAAAAGATCAATTTCCAGGTCTACAACACTACAAAAGCAAGATGAAATAGAGAACCAGAACTCTTGCTTTAATACAAATGGAGACATCTGGCTGAAAATCAAAGATCTGAACTATGGCGAAACTGGAAATGCAATACCAAAGGCAAAAGCAAAGACATAGAGTTTACATACTTCTAGTCAACTAATTCAAGCAGAAAGCAAATATGTTTAAACATTTGAACACAGAAAACTGAAAATTGGAGACAAAATAAAAAAATAAAAAAAAATAAAGAAGAAGAAGAAGAAATTAAAGTGGAAAAAGAGGTTCGCAACCATGAAAACCCATCATTTTCTAATGTTAAAGATCAACCTAATTTATGAGTTGAAAATTAAAGATCGGGATAAGAAATACTGTTATGATAAATAAAGGGAGAAGGAACTCACGGAGCTTCCTCGGAGGAGCTGTGCGTCGGAAAGAGATGTGGAGTGTTGGAGGAAATAATTTCCGTGGATCCGAGACATGGAATCCAAAACCAGCACCACCGTCCGACCTCGGACCCCTTACAAATTGTTTGGAGGAGAGAGATGACGCCATTACCGTCGATGGCAGAGAGAGAGAGGTTGGGTTGGTATGGTGGGTGTTGGTTCTTTAAAAAACGTGGAGTCCTACGAATGTGTATGTATAGAGAAGAGAAGAAGAGACGACTGGAGTTCTCCCTCACCTACCCCGACTCCCATTTCCTTGACACATGACTGACGACTCACCCCACCACCAGCAGGCAGCAGCCCCTCACCAACCCGCTCTCCTCCGTAATACCGCAGAAAACCTTTTTTCATTTTCCTCATTTCTTTCTTCTATTGACTATTAAACCGATGAGGCTGGGGGGTTTTGGTCAAATGTTTGAGACCTCCAATCAGTTTTACTTTACCTTTTAACTTGGCTTACCTACCCTCAACCCCTAATAATCAGATTAGGCTATTAATTTCACCCCTCCCAGCAGGCGGATTACTGTGTACCGTGCGGTAGTGACGGGATCCGTTCCTCACAAATGGCCGCTTACAGGCACATCTACCGCGCAATGGGAGCATCTCCCGTGAATAATAATAAATAAGTACTTATGGGAGATGTTACCAATACATGATAGGATGTGCGTGTGAAGCATCAGGTGTGAGAAGCAGATCCGGTCTCGGTTTGTCAACATGTATTGGATTTTCGTTTACAGTACACATTACACCCCTCCTATCACTTTTCTCCTCTTCTTTAAAACCTACTTTTTTAATCAAAGGTTAGAAAGTAGAAGGCCCGTTCGAACAGCCTTGCATCGGGAATATGCTACTACTGTGCACAGCGAAATATTTTCAATGCAAGACTATAATGGTTGTTCGAACGGGCTTTGCATTTACTGAATCCGGTTTCAATAATTCCACCTACCACGTGCTTGTTTGTTTAAATCGGTGGCTGAAACCTGAAAATGACATGATGGTCTCATACGAATCGTATCAACGCCCCACAGCAGCGTGTCCCACAACGTTCCACAGCACATCCCCGCCGTGCATTGGAAATATCTCCCTAATGATGATATTATCATTTTTAATACTGTCATAGAAAATGCTCCCATACATTGCGTGGATGTGCTGTGGGATGTTGTAGGGCGCCTCGGCGCCATATGTCCTCTGGCTTGACTTGCCTTAGACATTTATAGTTAACGGGTAGGGGTGCAAGTTGGGCGGGTTGGAGCGGGTTTATAATCAACTCAGGCCCAATCTTAAACTTTGGGTTTAAGGCCCGAGCCCTAGGTCAAACCCGATTTTTTTAACCTAAGCTCAATCCACCCTGTAATTTGATGCACTCAAGTTGGGTTCGGGTTCGAGTTGGTTAATGAACCCACTCTAAAATTATACATATATAAATGTATTTATGTAATATATATTTATGTATATATGTATGTAAATATGTAGACAAAATATCTATACAAATGTTATATATATTGTTGGATTTTAATCTCATAAGAGATTAAATCCAATGGGTTTGATTGGTTAATTACATGAAAAATTGTACCTACACACTTGATTGGAAAATCAATTTCTCTCTTACAAAGCCCAATTTTGAGCTTGTCCTACATTGGAAAATTATAAGTTTTGTTTTCAGTATTTCAATTGGAGCTGATTTACACTCCTTAGAATTAGTGGAAGAGAGTATGGGATTCGATACCGTGCAACGTGTGCGCGTGTGTGTGCGACGCAATGAAGCGCTTTAGAGGTGCACTTTGCTCGCACTTGCATGGCTCGCAATGGGTGGCTTTGGTTTTGGTGCGTTGCTAACCGTTGATCATCATTGATGAGATCAACGGTCACGATTCGATCGGGTGTGATTAAGAGGCACAATTCAAAGTTAACAGTCACTAACTGGTAATTAATTTTTAAACAGTCACAATGTTTAAAATTGTGATTGTTCAATGTGCCTTCTCTAAACCAGCACCTACCTTTTCTTCATACCTCTTCAGAAATTATTTGCCTGTAACCCAACAGCAAACTCAGTAAAACTGAGTGGGGGCAAATAACGTTCTAAAGACAGTGTCTTCAGACGCGCCTCAGAACTTCTCCTCCAAAGTTACAGTAACCCCATTTCTCTAACATATATAAATATGTCTATATGTATATATATGTAAATATGTATGCAACATTTATATAAATTTATATAATTGGGCCGGGTTTGGGCTACCTAAGGGCTAGGCCCGAGCATGGCCCAAAAAATAAAAAAAAAAACCCAATTTCTTGGGCCTAAGCCCAGCCCGTGTAAAATTTCGGATTGGACCAATTTAGACTCGGGCTCGGGCTAGGCCCGCCCAAGTTGCACCCCTACTAATGGGACAGACATTAGTTCATCCCATTACCATCCAATGTGTCAAAAAAAAAAAATACAAAAAAAGCTTATTTCCCATTGACTTCCTCTCTCGACTCTCTCTATCTCTCTCTCATCTCGTCCCCAAAATCGAATTTGGACTCCTCATTTTTCTTCTCTTTGTCGTAGGACAATTAATTCTGGTGATCGCATCGTTCGGCGATTTTACAGGTAACGATTTATTGTCTCTCTCATCTATTTCAAATTTTATTCTTTTTTTTCATTACCAACATGCAAGTAATGATAGTAATTCTTATTTTTTCATCTTCGTTTTAAGTTCAAATCAGCCCCCCACAATATTCTCACAACACATCTCTGCCGTCTATTGGGAATGTGTAGATGTGTAGATCTCTGTAACCACCACCTTCTTAACGAAGCAGGTGTTGCTTCTCATCATAACATTAAGAATACCTTTAGTAATACCCATGTCTAAAATAGAGACTGAAAAAAGATGCCCCTTCTACTATCGGGTCAGTGACAAAGTCCTCCTTGTACCTTTTCTTGCGACAAAGACGTTCTGAACTTTAGCTGTTAGACAAAGATCCTCTTAACTGTTAAGCCAAACGATGAAACTTTTCTTTAGTTTGGGTTCGAGCAAAGCAGAACGGATGCAGTTTAGCGGGTAGCGGAGCTGAGGGTTGGACTTCGATCTTCAGAGACTAGATGGGCCGCACAAGTCTTTGCCGGAACCGGACTACCGAAGACTGTTATGTTCTCTGGGCATGTCTTTTGTCATGTTGGCGATCGTGGGGATTAGAATGCTATATTATTTGATTGCTGATTCTGATATATTTGTTCTTTTATGTTGAAAAGGACATACTTATTGGGAAGGCTATCCAATACAAATTCATACTGAAAGCAATTACAGGGGTGGTTGTGCGGCAACCTGGCCTAGATCGGGTTCTGCAAACTTGGAATACCATTAACAAGATCATCGTTTAGGATGATTGGGAAGATTCTGAGCTTCAGAAAATAACAGAGGAAGCAATGGTTGATCCAAAAGAAGGATCATTGGTTAATCCTAATACAGAGGACATGACTGATCTGAATCAGGAAGTGATGGCTAATATGTCAACAAGAAAATGGTTATTGCAAAAAACATTAGTCATCCAAGGGAAAGATTCATGACCATTGCAAACAAAGGACTAATCGTTGCAGAGAACATAAATTATCCTAAAGAGGGCCCTACAGATCATGGGAACAGGGATGACCACAGCAGAGAGCATCATTCAGTCAACAGAGGACGCAAAGGTTAATACAAATAACAAAAGAATTGTATCAGAAAACATACAAGTCATGGAAGAACTGTAAATGACAAGTCCCTTATAATCATGAATAACATTGAGAATTTGATTGCTCATGAAGAAGGTCATGTTTTGGTACCTGGCTTGACCCCATTACCACAGATGGCAACTAAGGGTTTGCTTCAAAAAGAGATTGAAGAAATCAATAATGCTAGTGCCTCAGTTGCAGCTGATGAAACAAAAGACTACACAGCACCCAAGGTAACTGTTCGGTATGATGCACTTTGTTCCTATTTGATTTCTGTTGAGATGACTAGCTTAGAATTGATTTCTGTTGGTCTCGGTTGGTTCACTTTCGACTTTTGCTCCACTCTGACAATGCCTGAGAAACCGAGCTTGGACCTTTACGGAAGAAAGCTCTCTCTTTCTGTTGGAGCCATTTCACCTAACTTCAATGGAGAAGGCAATGAACAGTATAAAATGGGTAGTTTGGACATTTAAAAAAACCTTAAATAATGAAAGGGGGTCTTTATCTAACGGCTAAAGTTCAGGAGGTCTTTATCGCAAAAAAAGTACAGGGGGACTTTGTCACTGACCCCATAATACAAGGGGGTCTTTGTAATGTACCCAAAAAAACCTGTACTAGACCTTCCGGTTTCTCAAATGCTTTGCTTTACTCGTAAACAATCTGTCTAAACCACATAGACAAGGGGAAGTAGAGAATTACAGGCAAGAAAATGCACGATGACATCACAGAAGAGGATGAGCGAAGCCTGGCGCTTTTTCCACGTGGAATCCCTCACCAGGTATTCAGCTTGGGTCTCGGTGACGTGAAATTACTGAATGTTAAGGACGATAACCCAGCGGAAGCAGAAAAGGTTCCTCCAAGGTGGCATCTTCTCAGGTGCTCATTGCCGTCCCAGTACAATGATCTCAGTTCTTGGCTGAGCAGGAACTTCTCAATGTTGTGCACAGCATCCGAGTTCACATTTACAGCATCAAGAGAATCCAGCAGGACCGAGAATGATTGAAGAGCATGAAGGAAATGGTGCGAGAAGGGAAGGTCACTGCGTCCCAGCCTCGGTCCACAGAGTTCGCAAAGCGGAGGAGGGACGACACAGAGGATCGGTGTGCCGATGAGGACCCGACGGGAAGGTTCATTGCAACTGCCACGTTAATCGTTATCCGATACATGAAGTTGAGCCAACGACCAGGAAGCTGGGTCAGATGAGTCGAGGTTCATGATGTGCAAGTTCGAATGCGATGCCGAGGTCATTGGCAAAATGGGTCAGGTTCTCCGTAGTGAGGACAAGCTCCATGCGTCGTGGACTCGTGGGACGGTTGGGAAGCAAAGGCAGTAATCCTCATCGAGCTGAGGGAGCACCGCCATTAATCCTGACTGCAAGCTCCTGCATGAAGGAAGACCATTGTGCGCCAATCCCAATATCAAAGTCTACTACATGGGTTCTGATGAGGGCAGATTTGGCCCTCCAATGAAATTGTGACATGTGGCACCTCGTGACAACTAGGCAAACACCCGAGCAACAACTTACCAAGTTGGTGTCCCACTTGGGCACTGGTCTGGCTGGCCTGGCGCGACCTGCACGCGGCCTGCACGCGGCTTGGCGCGGCCTGCGCGACCTGGCCGGATCAGCCTGGCACATGATCCGACCTGGCAACCCATAAGACGCCCACCGATGAACCATAACGGCATACCTCGCGAGTTCGATAGCTCACCAAGGAGCTCGCCAAGGAGCTCGGTAGCTCACCAAAGAGCTCGCCAAGGAGCTAGGCAGCTCTACAAGGAGCTCGCCACCAAGGAGTCAGGCAGCTCGGCATAGCCCAAGGAGCTCGACGTAGCTCCCTAGGGCAGCTCGCCACTTGTAGGGTAGCTCAGTACAGAAGAGTAGTTTGGCGTATCGCAGGAAGATCTCCTG